TGATGCGGGTTGCCGAAACTGCAGGGGATAAGAATGGATATTCAGCAGGTGGCAGGTGGGCTGATATTTGATCGCTGTTGGTCGAATCAGGTGTTGATCGCTGTTGGTTCACCAAGCTAAGAGCCCAGGTGCAGTGCATTTGCTTTGTTGTTTCTGCTCTTCAGCCCACTTTCTCCAGTGGAGTTCTGGACACAGGAGCAGAAGAATCAATGGGTCTCGAACTTGCAAATCACCATCTGGATTGCCACATGGGTCTTGATCATCAAAGGGCCACTTGGACGACTCGACATTCGACTCGTGGGACTCCTTCGTCCGACTTGTCCGTCAGGAATGGCAAGTTCGAGGGTGCATGGCCAGGTCGCATATGGCAGGGATTGGCCTCTACCCTGGAATCCATCTCTCAATTACAGTATTCAAGATTATTCAAGACATGGTTCAAGACAGGTCCCAGCAGCTGATACTTGAGAAGGCTACTGTACATCTCTACGTGAAGTGAAAAAAGGCGGGCGCCTTACATCACCTACTTGTGATGCACAATCCCAGTGAGCAACCCCCCCTGCTTGTTGGAGCCTGATGTTCAACGGGTCAGATCTCAAACCACGTCGTCATCGGCGGAGCGGAGCCGATCCGAGCCGCCAAGCTGAAGGTGCCAGAAGTGGATAACCTTTAACATCAATGTTGATCTCTATTCTGGGATGGTTTAACAATGCTTAACATCATCAAGAGTTGACATAAATTATACCGCATCGCATCCTTTCACCTGTTTTGGGATTGCTTTCCACCGCTATTTTCCAGGCAAACTGAGGGAGTGATGTGTGTGCTCTCTGTGTGTGACACAACTAAACCGTGTTTTCATTTGCTCAGGTGTGGGATGTTCTTCGGTGGCACTCGAGGATTCGAGGTTTCTGGCATGCTAAGTGGCTTCAACATCATGGTTTGGGTCACTTGGAGAACGCGGCGTTGAACGCAGCGAAACGTCGCCCCCGGATCGAGGGTCGCGAAATGTTCCGACCGGCAGAAGATGGAAGTCCCGCTGGAGTGTGGATGATCGGAGTGTGGGACGATTCAAAGGGGCAGACTTGATTATATGTTAAGAAGTGTTGCCATGCTGTAGTTTTTTTGTGTGTGTGTGTGATGTCAAGCGTTCTCAGATTTGAAGGCTCTGGAAGGATTTGCTTTCTTTGCTTTCACTTGGGGTGTGCTGGTGTGCTAGAAGATACCAGAGTGGGAATGTCCTTAAGGTTAGCTCACCACACCCCACCAATCCTGCAAGCACATATGAGGGTGGATGAGGTGGGTCATGTGTCAGAAGCCTAATGGGCTGACATGCTTGCTAGTCCATGTTCGTTTTGGGAGTCGAACACTCTGACAAGGCCTGCATACTATGGGCAAGGTGGTAGAGTTGTGTTTTGGCCCATGCCCACTCGGAATAGCATGCCACGTCCTACAAAAATTGAGCTTCGTGTATGTTGGAGTCAGTGTATATACTATGCATAAAGACCTTAAATGCATCCAAATGTTAATAAAGGAAAGTGGGTCACTGCAAGCTCATGCCAGAGTTGCCTGCGCATCCTGCCGGAGTTTCATTGGATTTGAGTTATTGTATTTTTGTAACTGTAGCTTCCCGTGCGCACTTGACCGCACCCACGATCGCAGAATGAGGCGGTCAGGAGACAGGAGGGTTTCATTTGGGGGGTTGTCCAAGTTGTGGTGTCTCACAGGTGCCGTTTCCTGCGAAGCAGGTGATAGTGATGCTCAAAACTCTGAACTGCATCATCATCCCAGCTTGCCTCAAGTATGCAGACAACATCCTCTATGGATATGCCAAGCCCATCTCTATCGCTCCTTGGCAATCAAGACGTCCACCTGCTGCAGATCATGACAAAAACAAGTTTTGCAAGACCAGAAGCACACGGGAACCTTTGCAGCTTCATGTGCTGGAGCCAATGCTCAAAGACCTATGCAAAGGACTTTGGTAGCGGCTGAGTTGGTTTGAGTGGGTCACCGCTTGCAGCCAGCAGACATGACATGCTGGTGGACTTTTCGGGTCATTTTGCAGGTTCCAATGGACATTTCGAGATTGCCACAAGCACCTGAAAGAAAAGTAATGCAGAATACCGCCAGGATAGGATGCAAAGCGAGGATGTGCTGATATTGTTTCATACTCCAATATTGGATGACTATTCAGGTATTGGTCTGAGACCTTCCAGCAGTCAGAGCTTGCACAAGATCCTTCATGTCGACACTCGAAAGGTCGAGCCCAGAGGAATAGAGGAATCAACTGCTTAACTTCCTTTCAAGCCAAAGGCTTCCAGGAGGGGGTGTACCACTTTGGATCCGCAGTCTTGGGCAAACATAAAGTGCAACATCCTCAACATACGTAATATATTTAATGTCGTAGTATTATATAGTATAGCCAGTGGTATAGCCCTTGCATGCCCTCACAGCAGCTAGACGCACTTTCACAAGCTTAGCACAGCCAGCGCCTCCCAAGCTTGAAGCACTTCCCCAAAAAACAATAACGCATGGATTCGCTGGTGTTTCATGTTCCGCTCGGATTGCTCTTGGATGTGTTTCAGAATTGAGACCAGCTGCTGAAGCAGTCGAGGTCTTGACGGTCATCGTGACCAGCTGCTTAAACTTCACATTGCCAGCACCCACGATGCTCATCGGTACCTCACTGGTGCTGACCTCCATTGTGATCTATGGTCGTGGTTGAGCTGGTTGAGGTCCGACCGGTGCGCAGAGCAAGGTGTGGAGCGAGTTGAGACAGTTGAGATGGATTTGCACCAAATGAGAGAGGAAGACAGAGTGACATGAAGGATTTGGACAGGTATGTTCCTTAAGTGGTCACCACTGTAGTCAGTAAGATGGTGGTTCACAGCACCCCATGTCATGTTCTGATGAACTCTACCTTTCACCACATTTTGACTGCGAAGAACCTGCCAAGTAGTACAGGCCTCCATGCTGTGCTGGTGTTGGAGATGTTTGAAATATGTTGGAAATCAGCCACCCGGCTCAAAATCTCAATGGACGTCCTTCAAAATCAGAACCACCTCATGGCGGGGAGGTCTGATGTAGGAGCGCGGCCCGAGACGCGCTGGAGCGGTGGGGCCGCGGTGTTGGGGCTTCGTTAGGCTGGTGTTCGAATCGAATCTATTGATGATCATGGCATATCATGGTTAAGTTGCATGATAAACGCACATCCTGGGCTAGACGGCTAGACTGCTTTGGTCGTTCGAGGGGATTGACCAGCAAGAGATGACCTTATCTGTTACTTCTGGATTCCAGATGTTTTCATAGAATGTCCTACACACAGCTATGTTTAGCTGCTGTGGCAATGCAGAGTTTCCGGTACCATCCGGTACCCGGTGCCAAACCGACAACCAAATCCACACAGGATCCATGTTACTTTATGTGTGTGTGTTTCTTGTGGGTTTGCCAGGCAACTTTTTTCCTGTTGAAGTTGGCCTTGTATCTACTAGTTGTATGTTGCTTGAGCTGATTATATCATAATTTAATAATATGCATATATATATATATATATTTACTGTATATATATATATATATAGTACATATTATGTCTAAATGCCCTCCAATCATCTCAATTAATCGGTGCCCTCAACCACCGCAGAGTGCTTCCAATCATTCAGATTTCTATGTGTTACGGGGTTTTTGATATGTTTTCTTCATATTAAACACGTGGCCACAATGGCTACTTGCTGGTGTAACATTCTTGACATCAGCATGCCACAATTGTTTTCTACTGGTTTTGTTGACCAACACGGCTCCGGTGGACTTCTTTCCCATTCGCATGACCGTCCACCGGAGGTCCGGTTGGGCGGATTCGATCCACCAGACCTGCGAGATGTAGACGGTCGATTTGATGCCGGCACTGAAAGGTGAGAGACTCACAATGAGAGACTGATGACTCACATCGTTTGGGATGAAGGATAGATGTGAGTAGTTTTGGGTGTCCCCAGATTTTCAGTTTTGGGATGAGAGGATGAGAGGTTTGCCAAGTCCGTTTTTTCCTCTCCGGCTCAGATCTATGGAACACATTCAAAGACTGTGTAGGAGTGCATGAGTCAAGAGAGAACGAACCAATACGCTTGCCAGAAATCGGCCCCAGGTATTATCCTGCTGTCATCATTGCACCACTCCTCAGGTTTTCGGAACGGATGCAGCAGGTCACCACGGTCACCACTACTCTGAAGTATCCATGCCACTGTGGACCCACTGTAGATGCAAACCTGGACCATTGAACAAAGTGTCAGACATATACTCCTGACATTGGGCAAGAAGATCCATCAGGCCCACCTTGGAGGGTGGTGATCGGGCCTGCAGGTGTCACCTGTTTGTTTCCAAACTGGACCGATTTCATCAGGGCATTTAGCTGGAGCATGAGAGGCCATCAGTGCTGGTTGACCGTGGCGCTGGAGGACGGTCCAGTTGCGCTTGCGGAACCGGGTGAGTTAACAAGCGGGCGGAAAAAGACAGTCCAGTTTCCCACGCTGAGCGCCTCAAACATCCTGATACCACAAGTGATCACCGGCTGGCATGCACCGCGCGGCGTTCTTGAAACTTCCGAAGATGGGGGAGTTGCGTCACCATTTCCCCCAATTCTTCGTCAAACGCACTTGCAGCCCCAGCTGTTGAAAGGCAATGGTGGTCTTTCGGGCTCAAGCTCAAGGTGCATCATTTCAATTCGAGCTTGGGCATTTGGCTCCTGTACTAGTACTGTAGAACCAACTCCAAAGGCAGCCCCGACCAGCTGCGAAGATGTCTTAAAGTCTTAAAGTGATTCTTGGCCTTGGCACGCAAAGGCGAAACCAACATTTAAGAAGCACTGGCAGAGTATGTAAACAAACTGCTTTGAGCCCCTTAAGCCCCAGATCCAGAACGAGTACTGTACCCTTTTTCAGAGTCGAGGTGAACAAGCGGATTAACCCACGTTGGCGGACGTGAAACCGAACAGAGGACCCAATAGAGAGCAAACAGTGAATCCCTTGACGGCATGAGCTGGCAGATGACCGCTGTGTCTTGGATGCTTCCCTCACTTTCATGCTGCATGATCACTGCAATGTGGTGAGCAGGGGGTCCTAGAATTCATGTGCGGTCGGGATTGGCCCCAGTGGGTTTAGCATCTGAGAGGCTTGACTTTGCTGTGGTATGCTTTGACGATTCAGCTGCATTGCTGTGTTTTCTCCATTTCGGTCCGGCCCGAAATGGAGAAAGTGGAACCTTTTGACGCAAGCCTTCATTAAACACTGCCATTTGGGGCAACTGAATCCACGTGGCAAATCTTGCCTCCGCCGTTCCAGGTGTTTAAGATTCGACCGGACACCCTCGTCGGGCGCAACCATGGGGCAATTGACGCAAGAGGCGCCAAGAATGGCACGAGGGCAACATGAGCGAGTTCAGCCGAAAGAAAGCCGCCGAATCAATTATATATTTTAATTATGTTTAATTCACCTCCATATAAGCTTCTGCATTGGTTGCACTACTACATCAGGCAGTTCCTCAATTGTCCAATTAGCCCTGCGAGTTCTTGAAGACGGATCAGCAGACTTAATTATTTTGAGGTCGATTCATCCCTGCGTGCAGAATCAATTTTGTGGGAATGTGGGCAGAGATTTCGCGTCCGAAGTTGAAACAATTGCAACAGATTAGGCTTAGGCCAGCACTTTTTGTTGGCCCTTCCCCTTTCTCCGTGGCAGGCACGGCTGCGGTTCCGGAACGCGCGGAGGCAGCCAGCTGCAGCATAGGTATGAATTCACCAGCTTCAGGTGGAGGGGCCACCTCATCAGTTGCCTCTGTCAGGGACTTTTGATGTATTTGGGGAATGTGCAGATGTTTGCCTCACCACACTGCCGAGTGGCAATGTGTGTACCACTGTCGGCAGGCGCTAGACGGTGTGTTCATAATATGCGGTGACACACAACCAAACATAAGGGCCAAGAATAGACGGAATAGATGCTGTATGGTGCAACAGAAATTTGCCACGAGCCTTGGCGAGCTTGGGCCAATGCTGGGTGCACATAATGTAACAGTAACACATAACAATTTAAGGGACTTATCCGGGACTAGCTGTTGTTCAGCACAAGCAGTTCAAATTGAGCTATTGCCATGCGCTAAGAGAAGCATCGTCGCACCGCGTCGCCACTCAACATACTAAACGTCCTATCTCAACGGTGGATGCCGCTATCACCGCTATACAAGTATCCAAGTGGCACCAGAATGGCCAGAGAAATGGCATCGCTTCTCCCACCGGGCTGGCTGAAGCGATGAATGGGTTCACTCATGGTTTGGTTCAGAAATGATCAGAAATGGTTTGGTGCACTATTGAGGTGGGTTTCCGTGAAATGTTGGTTCTGGAAGGCACCAATTCAGAGTGGTGTGTTTATTTTTTTTTCCTGAGGTTTGACTAGTAAAGCATAAGTTGTTTCTGTTTTGTAAACGAAACTGTTTTGAGGGCTTATGAGGTTTTGGATGGTTTTGGGTTGCAGCTCTGTGCAATTTAAAGAAAAAGATCTGCTGGGAATAAAGCAGTTTTTCCGGTTGGCGCCCGAGTCTCGTCCCGCCAGGGACTTGAAATACGACAGGATCAATGCAGCCTTGGATGAGGCAGCAAAATACACGTGTTGACCATTTGTGTTTTTGGAGCTAGTAACTGTAGGATTTCATGTGAGTCCGCTGTCTTTGATACTGTTTTGTGTGAATCAGACTTGGGCCAAATGTTGAGGAAGAGAACAAGACAAGAGAAAGGTTCAATTTGATGGAAATGTTGCATTTAACAATAAAAGCAATATATATATATAACTATATATATAATACTATTTGGCCGTCGATTGCGGCAAAGTTGCGGTAGATGTGTATGATTCTTTTGCGGCGATAGCGCTGATCGACATCTTTTGGTCCCGAAAATGTGTTAGATCGCCCTCCTGAACCGAAGGACACTTGGTGAAGTTGCCGGGGTTTGTGAAAGACAATTCATATATAGGAACAAGAAGCTGACTAGGGGCTTCTGGCATCGCTACTAGGAGCAAGGACGCTACTAGGGGCTCCTGGCCCTACTACTAGGAGCAAGAAGCTACTAGTAACGAGGGCATTACTACACAAATCTTATATAATAGACTTATTGTTTCAACCTCCCAGGCCTGAGGTTTTGCAATCATGCAAAAGGATGCGTTTTGTTAATCAAGAGTCTATATATGATGTTTGCTGCCTCCCTTTCGGCTTTGCTGCACATCTGAACTTATTTCACAATGGTGCTGCCACATCGAGTTGGCCACGCAAGCCTATGCCCTTCATTGTCATTCAGGCCACGCAAGCCTATGCCTCCTTCCAACTCTCCGGAGATCTAGATGGAATGGCAGAGTGCGTGCGCATCGCGGCTTTGCGGCAAAAGTGGGAGAGCTTTGCGGCAAAAGTGTAGTCATGTGAGATGCTTGAGATTCAGCAAGACACGGCACATGTGGCGACACTGTCAGCTAGCAGCGAGGATTTGCTGAGATCACACCTTCGCATGGATTCTGACTGTCACATGTGTTTTTTAACTTCGATAGCGTCACACATGGTGTTTGGACCTATTATATAGATTTCAAGACACTCGCTCATGAAAGAGGATTATTGTTTCCATTTCTATATAAGAGCCAAGAGTTTTGTGTGTGTGTTTCTTCTGCAGCATGTGAACCTCAGCCTGTTCTGTTTGCAGCTGAGTTTGTTGTTTTTGTTTTTTGTCCAACTTCGGAAACCAGCGTGACTGACCATGACTTTCTTTTGATGGTCCCAATCATGACTTTTCTTTTGTGTGTCGGACGCATGTCGTGTCGATGTTCCATGTCAAGCGATCCTCCCGGTGTTTCTGGAAATTAACATTTCTCCCCCCCCCCAGACACGGATGGACACCAAAAAGTTATATAAATACACCGCCTTAATTGCTGTAAACCAACACATCATGCATATTATGATGCTTGTCGCGCCAATGAGACCCAGTCTTGGCGTGCCTTGGGGCATCCATTCTTTCCAATCAGGTCAGCCACGCCCTCGGGCGACAGGGCTTGCGCAAGCAAGCTGTTCAGCTGCTTGTACAAGCAAGAGGATCAGTGTTTGGATGTGTCTGGGAGATGGAATCATGTTGGTTATAGTTATATAATGTTAATTAATGTTATATATATATACATACTGGTCTTCAACATGCAAGCAGGTGCTGTTGGCCATCCATGCATGATGAAGTCAATTGGTGCATATTGTTCCAAATGCTTGCATGTTTGTAGAACAGTTTGTTGCGTTGGAGCGTCAGACTGTAACACTGTAACACAAACACAACAAAGAGGTATTGCAATGACAAAGTCAATGCCTAGGATGGCCACAGAAGAGTTGGAGAAATTCAGAGAGAAGAATCAGAAGCGAGCAGAGGCATGACAGCGGGCTGGGATCTTTTACATCCAATCAGTTGGGCTTGCGCGTGTGTTCAGGTTTCACCCTGAAGCTTTGGGCGTGAAGGATGGAGGTCCTGGAAGCTTTAGCATAAAACCTGGTACATAGTACAGACTTCAACAACTTCAGACATGTCTTTTTATGGTGCCATTTGAGGTTCGAACGTTGAACACTTGAGGATCTTGAGGTTGGGAGGAGTTGCTGACGGCCAGCCCTTTGAATCATTCATCACTCCAAATCACAAGGTTTATGTTTACCATTATATAGCAGTACCAGTACCATTAATTTAATGGAAGGTGCTTGCCGGGGACACCAATTTCATATGCCACAGCAACAACAAGCAGACGAAAACAGCTGCGCTTGCCCAGCGTGTGAGGCGCTGATGTTGGTGACCTTGGCGGAGATCAAGCTGAACGCGAACCAGAAAGAGAGTCGTGCAGACCTTGGCTGAGCGAAGGGGGCTGCCGGGGCAGACTGAGTCGCAAATGTGTTGCTGTTGTTTTGCTTGGTGAGCATGGTTTCATTGAATTTGACATGTAATATCATGTAATTCCATATATCGGATTATGTATACTAATTTATGCTATATTACATATATATATATATAATGATGAGCGCAATGTGGGCTGACCAGGCGTGTGATCCTTTCCATTTCTTATTTATTCAAGGCGTTTCACCGGTGTTTCACCATGTTTCACCTCGCCAGGGGTTTGTTCAATCCAAATGGGCATCGGCATGGGCAACGATCTACAATGACCGGTTCCGCGCGCTCCACTCCCCTTCTTTCACGACCAGACTCTCAGACTCCAGAGGCGAAGAGGCCTGCCATTTGGCGAACCAAGCGCGGCTGGCCTTCACGAATTTGAAGGACATTCAATCCGATGGTTGCTCTGGTTCAGATGCGATCTGGTTTTTTGGGGGTATAATACTCACCAAGAAAGTTTCACATATATATATATATATCGAAATCAATGAGGTACTCTATCCACAGTCACTGTGGGGTCGCCATGTGCGCAGCAACGCGGATTTTGTGACACGGCTTAAGCATCTTGTACTGTATGTGCAGGGTCATATAGACAGTGCATCATCATCAGCATCCATTCATGATTTTCATGCGGGCCTATGTCGGCCTTTGTTTGGTTTCCGTGTGTAACATAGGTGGCTTCCTGGAACTCTTTCTGAAACGAGGACCGGAAGATGGAAGGCGAAAGCTGCCTGGTCAGGAGCTCAGGCTGAGCTCCTGGCTTTTGATGAAAGAAAGTGTTGGATGCTTTGCCTACAGAAAGTCAGATGCCCCCAGCTTCTTGGGTTTGGCTTTCAATAAAGCCTTCCCGGGAAGACATGGAAACAGTCTTTGAGGTTTGCACCGCTGAGGCCAGTGGAAACGCCCTCCTAAAGTGCGGCGCTTTCGATTTCGCCTTAGAGGCCAACATGGTTGTTGTGGAAGAATTTGACCGACCGATGCCCACTAAGGTGATGTTTACACTTTTGGACTATGCAAGTCTACAATCTACGCAGAATTTGTCCGGTGTTTGCGTGGTCTACTGGCATTGGCATCCCACCTTAATTACAAGCAGAGAGGAGGTTTGACATGACGAATGGTTATTGGATATTAATTGCTATTAATATTATATATATATATGTTTCGATGTCTCACGCAAAGCGATTGAAGCCAAACTGGACTATTGCAGTTTGGTTCAGAAGAATTGGTCTTTAAGCTATATAATTGGTGCTTAAGTTTGGCGACTCATGTTTTCTTTGGATGTAGGATAACGTCAAGAAAGTAAGACTACCAAGACCCTCCAAGAGGAGCGCGGGATCCCACAAGGTCTGAATTGGACACCTGCTGCAGGACTTTACATGGATCAAGTTTCCAAAGCTTAGATGGAATATTATGGAATGTCACCAAAACATGCTGGCAGCTTTTCTGGGCCCAATGCGGGCATGTCGATTGCCAGGCTTTTCAGCAAGCCCGTCCAATTTTTAAAAGCTTGCAGCAAGTGCCAGATACCCAGCGATGCCGAGCTGCGATTCAGATGATGTGCTGCAGTCCCAAAGCTTCTTTGGCGTGGCGCCAGAAACATCCTGATCCTAAATTCTTCAATAAAGTAAGGGTCAGGGGAGCTTCTCCATTGCTCCCTCACTGTTGGTGATGGAGAACACAAGAAGCCCAGAGCCACCCATATTACCGGTACAAAGGTAGGGTGTGCAAAATAGATGCATTGTCTCAAGACATGATGCGTCAATCTCTTTAGCTGCAGTGTTTTTCGATCAAAGCCGGATCTTCCCTAAAGTTTTTACTCTCAAACAAAGTGAAACGCACACGCACACACACACACAAGCTTCAGGTGTTTAAAAGGCACGCCTATTTTATAGATATTGTGCAAAAGATATTATATATATATGCTATGCATATCTATGCATATTATATTCTGTATGTAATATTACTGTATATACAATATGAATTCACATGCTACCGGTTCCAAATTCAGTGTAATTCCGCTTGCCCCAGTTGTCGTTCAACAAATGTGCGGTAACAAAATGGTTTGGGCGTATTTTGGGTTTTGGTGCAGGATTAGTATTGGTTTGGAAAACCCGGTGTTTTCTGGGAAACCCAGTGTTGTTTGTAGGACAATAGTGAGTTTCAGTATAATAGTATATAATGGGTTTGGTACGGTTTAGTATGGGTTTTGGCACCCATCCGGGTGTGAACAGCTTTTCTCGCCCAAGCTGTCGGATGAATAGGAATACAATGAACAACAACACAATCTTGGATGAGTGTGTTTGAGTCGAGGAAAAAAGACAGATGTTTTCACAGTACTGTCATGAGTACACAAGGTTTCAGATCAGACCCTTTCTTTTTTTGAAGCGTAGGGTATATGTGTAATTATTGTTTTGATCACTGATAGCAGTGCCCTCATGATCTTCATTGTTTGAGGGGGCCACTGTTTTGTGCAAGAGCTATACTATTAGAGTGGTTGGGTAAGGGAAAAGAGTCTCCCTGCAACTCATCCACAGGATGGAAAGCAGAGGCCTATTGGGTTGTTCCCAAAGGATATGAACAACAGCTGTCCCTTTATTGAGCAACAAATTGTTCATTTTGAAGAGGGGTCCAGAATAGTCATCACCCATTATATACTGTAGCTGATATTGTTTGTTCATGTTGATTCTATCATTTTTTGTCATTGAGTCATGGTCCATTTCCAGACGTCACCGGACGGCGAGCGAAACGACAAGGTCTTTGGAGGGTAGAGCACTCCATGGCTTGGCCTGCTGCCATGCAGCAGGCGAGAAGGGACTTTGTTGAGCATCGGTTGCTGGGTGTGAAGTCTCTTTGTTTTTGGTTGCTGGGAAGTACGGTATACTTCAGATCCACCAGTTTGCAAGAAATTGCAAGCCACCCTGTTGAATGGCCCAATGATACACTTCTTGGGAGGGGCCCTTGCAAGGTTGAAATTGCAAGTTGGAGAGCATTGAAAAGCATGCGTAGCCACAATTCGTTTAGGTGGCCTTTATACCCGAGCAGTAGAGCAAGCCAAAGAGGCGTGGCGCGGTTGGAGCTTGGGTGGTTTGTGCAGAAGTGCTGGTGAAAACATGCCAAAAGGGATCAAGAGAGTAAAGAAGATTAAGGAAGAACATTTTGTGAAGTTAAAGGTAACAAAAGCAAAACTGTTTGCATGCTGGGGAGTTTCGGAGACAGGCTTCGAGATACTATATACCCATACTTTCATTAGACAGAGTTCCTCAGGTTCGAGTGACAGAACTACCATTGATGGAAGCTTCTCTCATAGGCGTCGGCCTATGATAAAGTGGATTGTCATTGTTTTTTTTGTTTTCTTGGGTGCTAGTCAAGAACTTGTTTGTTTGAGGTTCCGACTCGGTCTAGAGTCTAGACAACTGGACCCCTGGTCTAGAGTCTCAGCATCCAGGTGAGGAGTCCAGGGGGCTTTCCATGTTTTCCGGCGTATTCGGCGTTTCACCTCCATCGGCACCACGGACCAAAAGCGACCCGAAGTGCTTTTCGCGCTGTCTGCGTCTTGCTTCGAGGCCTGCAAGTGCTTCGAAACCTCTCAAAGCAGCATCTTTCAAACTGCTGTGTTTTTGCCTCAGGTGACAGACGATACAGATGCTACTGCGGGTGCGCGCATGTGGAAGTTATAGTGCTCATGGCCGGCGAACCCAAGGGCCCTGCCATCTCCTGTCCTTAATGCTTCCAAGCCAGGCTCACTTCCATGCAAGGTGTGGCTCAGCTGCCTTTGATGTTTTGCCCAGCCAGTCCTTTTCAGTTCTGCATGAGGCTTGAGGCAATCAGCTCTTGGTATGTGGAGGCATCAGCGAATCAGAGTCGGTTTGTCGGGGCTCACTTGGGAGGTGTTTAGCACGGAATTGTACTTAAGGATACTTAAGGTTTCTACTTTACTATATACATTGTAATATAGTATATTATATTATATATGTTTTGCAGTTTGTTGGGGATGGACTGTTGAGTGGTCAATATATACAGTACCACATGAGATTAGCTCTCATGTTTACACAGCACGTGAAATAGACAGGTGCACGGTTTGACGCCAAATGCATCTTTTCAAGTTGCTCCAAGACAACTTTGGACATGCAGACTTCAACTGCAAGGGTGACAACTTTGCTTGGTTTGGTATGCTATGCAAGTTGGAGATCACAGACAGTGCCTTTCGTAGAACTATATGCTGTTTTCCGGCCAGAACCTAGTTACACTCCGTGCCTTTCATTGCTCCAGCACGGTTAAAGCATGTACATGATACTACCAGTGATACTACCATATACTACCCAAGATTCCTACTCTCAGTCTTTGCACCCATTTGGTGCAAAAGAAACACGAGGAACTGCGTGGGATCAACGTTTTTGAACAAACTCGACTATTTGCCGACCCGAGAAGAAAAACCATTCGACAAAAATGCGTACATCAGTGTGAGTGTTTGGCCTTCGTGGGATGAGGTTGGAAAGCGGTTCATGTGTTGGGAGATGGCCTGATAATATGGGAACATCATGAAGCATTTCCAGAGCAGCTAGATCTGCTCTTGCGCTTGATCATTTTTTCTCGGTTCCATTGTTTCACCGTGTCCGTATTGCTAGCGTCCTTGCTATCCTTTAGTAGCGTCCTTGCTCCTGGTAGCGATGCCAGGAGCCCCTAGTGGCTTCTTGCTCCTAGTAGTACGGCCAGGAGCGCCTACTACCGTGCTGATTCTCAAAATCTCAGCATCCTATAGTTCCCAAGAGTGTGCCGTGACCAGCAAGCCATGTGAGCGAGCACCCTTATGTGGAATCTAGTTGGTCATTATCGCTTAATATTCTTCCCAGGAGCAATGGTATTATACTGTATACTGCACTGTCTCTCTCTCTCTCTATGTATACACACATCAGGGACTATTAATTACTCGCCTACAGTAAATAAATACTTATACTATCATAATATGGACTTACCTGTTTGCTTGGATCAGCGCACCGGTCCTGGCTGATCATCCAGTTCACGTGGCGTTGCTTTGCCATTCGTTGTTTCGCTCAGCTTGGCAGTGTGGGGAGCTGCAGTTAGCACGAAGCTTTGCGGAGCAAAGCCTGGCAATGGCGCAAGAGGCGAGAGCGATCTAGCAACCTGCAGTGGGTACATGAGTTTTGGTTTGGTTTGGTGACTCAGCCTGCACAACCACAATGGGTGCACAGCGCGCCGCTAGGTTGAACAAGTTGTGTTTTTGAATTTTGTTTCACATTGTTTCTATGCTTTTCTTGCCGTTGAAGTTGTGGTGTAGTCACCCCACTTCCACCGAAGTGAGGCATCTTCGCCTCGACGGGAAGCCTCTGCTTTGCGTAGCTTGGTCAAGGCTCGGGCGTCGGGCGTTACACGTGGGGTTGCCCCCACCTTGAAGCCATACAGATCCATGTGTCTCTTTCAGCTATTGAAAGATGGTGATCCAGAGTTGTTTTTCTGTTTTTTATGCTTTCCGCACTTGAGTGCCACAAAAACACCGTAAGATGTGTACATGTAGTGGGCGATCCCAGGGGTCAGAACAAGCTGCACCGCCGCAACTATTTCTGGTGGTTAACTGAGGTTGAAAGTGATGTATTTAGCTTGGAAACGGCATTCCGGACGACATCTAAACGACATACTTGATCTATAAAAACTTTATAATAAGTATACTACTGTATATATTTGTATATATATATATATGTATGTAATCATATTTATTAAGTCTCCATTTTTCTGATGGGTGATATGAATGACATTCGAAACGACATCCAAACGACATCAGTACTTCTTCAAATTGACCCGTTGACCACATGGTGCTGAAAGTCATAGGTTTTCATCATGTAACAAGCAGCATGGGGAAGTTGCAGTTGGGCGTCTCTGTGAGACGCCTCAGTGACGAGTCATGCCCGTGAGAGGGAGAGAGAGAGAGAGAGAGATAGGGAAAAAAACAGCAGCATAGTACAGATTCTAGCACAGAATCAAGTTCATATAGCTGACAAAGAGACCGCCGCTTGGAATGGCGATGATTTGTCATGATTTAATGGTTTGTCCTTGGGATCTTTACTTAGGACTGGTTCTTTTTTTGGTTATCACTTAGCATCACTTAGTTGAACTGTTGGTCGCCCCACTCGGATTTCTGGAGACTTTGTGTGATGTTGGCATATCCTTTGGGCTCCGGCTCCTTTGGACGCTCCAGGTCTACATTCTCCAGGGAGATGCGAACTCTGTGCTGGGGAACTGCTTGGATGCAGCGTGGGGCCCAAGGTTTGGTATACTGAGAGCGGAGGGGTTGACATGCTTTGAAGGCCGGTACGTTGTTTCTCGCAACGTGCATTCATGCGCGTTCGTTGATGTTGCGCTTATGACGAACATATCACCACAGCCCATCCTGCACAGCCCAAACTTTGTTGTTTGATTTATTCAGCACTCGTTGCTCATCCCCTGGCTGGGATCGTTTTGCTTGTCAGAGGGCTCGGGATCTCCAGTGCCCAATTCAGAGCATCACCACCAACCATGAAACAGATTCAGGATTTGCACTGGGTTCGACTCATTTAAAAAAGAAGAAGAGCCCCACGGATCACAGAACCATCATTGAAGTCGTAAGCCCCGTAACACCAGGTGCCATGAGGTCGTTATGAGGTCGAGTCTCACCAGCTGCCATGAGGTGACCCACGAAGCAGCCGAGGTGTCACACCGGTGACCCCCCGCTAGGTAGCAGCGCTCGATTGGCTCGCCTATATAGGTGTCGCGCTACAGGGACATGAACGCCCGGGAGGCTGAGTAGGGTGGCTCAGGTGGTGTCCGCGACCAGCGGAGCCGAGGCATGGAGATAAATTGGGTGAACTAACAGACTAGACCCGCCTGAAAACTCGTGGCTCAGGTCAGCAATGAATCAATGAACATGTTTTTTGATTGTTGGCTCCGCCAAAAATCAGTGACCCTTGGAAGCTGAGCGGTTCGACCTGTGTTCGAGGTAGAACCGACCGAAATCCCATGCTTGGGTCATAATGACCACAGATCGATCACCCCTTCCGAGATCGACCGAGGATTCAGGATCGACCGATGTGTGTTTTTCCAACCATGTGTTGGTGTTCATTGATCCATAAATTGTTGTGAAAATTGCGGCGTGTTCAGATTCATTGATCACAAACATGTGCAAAGGCGTATTTGTTGTACATTGTTGTGTTGCTTCCTTCTTTCACATGCTTATTTTTGCATGTGTGTCGCCCTTTGTCAATGACTCATGTTTGTTTCGTCCCAGCCATGGACCACATGCCACCGTCACCCCAGTTCTGACGCTGCCCTGGCTCAGGTCCATTGCTTTGGCTGCCCTGGTGGAATGTTCCATTGCATCTCAGGCGAGTGAAGTTGCACAGAAAACATGGATTTGGGGCGCTTCTTCTTGGGAAGATCAAGTCTAGCAGAGGGGGAGGCTGTGGGAAACTCGGGCAACTCTCACTTCAACTTTGGTCAAGGTGTGTCAAGTTGTTGATTTGGGATACTTTGGTGTGCTTTGCAGTCAGAGGATGACAGGCATTAATGCAGTACTTGTTTCTGACTTGATTTCCCAGGAGTTGGACAGCGCTAGGTATATTATATAGTATATCATTGCTTCCTTTCAGATGTCCTTTTTTGCCAGATCGTCACTCGCTGGAGAAGAATCGGTCACGCAGCATGTACTCCACCCCCTGTTTGGGGTTGAAGCAGGTTCGACCCAGGAGTTTCTTGATCCCACACTGCCAGGGCAGCTTGGACAGGACCGGGCTGCGTAGCGCTTGAACCTTCAAGTGTGACGTAGGTGTATGACATGGTGGAGAACTTAGTCATCAGCCCAGTCACAGGCTAATCAGACTAGGATCAACAAGGAACAATCCTCGATATGGCTCAATGTTTGTGCAATCCCACTTGTCTTCTATTTTTTTGTGTATTGCTAACTCAAAGTCTTTTCTTGTGCTTCTGTTGTTTGGGGGGTGGAGCATCTCAACAAGAGTTAGACCTCAAAGCCTAAGACACAAACAGCAGGTTTTTGCATGACTGCTGTGAGTTTTTACGTGAAAAGCGGCGCATCATGCATAGGGAATCTTTTGTGCACTTGGGTGGCAGGAAAATGCGCGTGTTTTTTACAAATAACAATAATACTATAATACTATATATATATATTATGTATCTCTATCCATGGGCAGTTGATGAGTTTTGAATGACATAATTAATAACGGTGTAGCTGTGCTGACTCGGTCTCCATTCAGCGTTGCTGACTCCAATGATGCGGCTTGCATGCGCCGCTTAAGCGCATGGTCAGGAGCCTGCAAGCAGCCACGGATGCATGCATCGCCTTCCGGGAGCCGGGCGTCGAGCGTGTGGATGCTGCATGGATGCTCCATGGATGCTCCATGGATGTCCTGAAGCTGGGTCGACCCAGTATGGAAGAAATTGGAAAGATACCGGAAGTGGAGTCTAAGTGTGGTTGCCCAAATGATAAGTTGGCTGAGTTCCCCACGCCAGAAAAGGGATATAGTCTACACTAGTCTGCTCAGGGTCAACAACAGATTGAGATAAGCCCTACATGTTACTTTCAGCATGGTTCAGTATTTGGTGTGGCATCTACGGCAACTGTGCAGCAGTTTGTTTGTAGATCAATATATTTGTGCACGGTATATATGTACAAAACATATCTAATAATAGATGGTGTTGCTTTTAGAATAGTTTTGCGCCCACAGTTCTCGCAGGAGATGGGGGATGCTCACCAGGAGATGCACATGCAATTTGGCTTGGGAAGCTAACAAGGACAAAAAGAAACCGGGCAGCGGAGGCATATGGTCCAGAGATGTCCAGAGTACGTGGGTCCCAGAATTCGAATCAAAGACATGTTTGCCGCTCATTATTCTGAAGCTATGCGAGGATAGACACGATAGACCAAGACCCAGACTGGTCACGGTGTTCGACCAACTTGCCGAAGCCCTGGTGGTTTCGACCAGCGTCGGCTTGGGCCTAAGGTGCTGCACCATGGCACGTCTTTGTTTGGAGCATCAGCAGCTGGATCAGGTGCCTGACAGTCACACAGTCATGACTGGTTGTGCCCATGTTAGGAAGACTTGCTTGGGATCCATGATGTTGGGATGGACAGATTCAGATTTACCTAACGACCTGGTGACCTAGTGACACCTGTCAAGGAGAGGAGTGTCTCTGTGGGACAGCTGGGTGATGGCTAGAATCCGCAGAGAGAGAGAGAGAGAGAGACAGAGAGAGAGAGAGAGAGCGAGAGAGAGAGAGAGGGAGAGAGAGCGAGAGCGAGAGCGAGAGAGAGAGAGAGAGAGAGAAAAAGACAGAGAGAGAGAGAGAGAGAGTTAACCACGAAAGCACTCAACAGCGTGGGTTCAGCCCTCTTGTGCCAGGCTGAGCTAGAACCGGGAATCTGTCTCCTCGTCTCCTTGGGCTCTGGTGGACCCGTTTCCAGTCGGTTCACGTGGTGTTCGGGACGGGCGCAGGCTGAATCTCATGCCCGCACTGCACTGCAACTGGCCCGGGGACTGGATGACAGGCGCAAGAGGAACGGTGCTTGCACTGTGGATGGGCTTGAGTCGCAAGAGACACCCCCCTTTGACATGTTTATGTCGGCTACTTACTTGCCGGGACCGGAAGGGATGAATCCAAGATCATAAATGATCATACTCTGTCTTTGGGGATGCATGGCCCGAGCCGGGCCCAGTTGGATTTGCAAAACACCCATACTTGCCTCTTGAACCCTTGGCAAGTACTTTGCACTGACGCGTCACAAACGGTCAAGAATAGACAACCGACAATTGACAAAACATAAACACCCAATCGAACAGCAAAAGATAACCCTCGTGGTTCTCACTATGTTGGAGGAAGCCGAGCTGGCTCTTATCTTCGCAGGGTTGATGGTGCGTTTCAATTACTTTATGTGGCCTTGTTTGCAGCATGGGGGCAGCTTAGAGTTCAACCATGTTCAGCAGAGAGGCAGAGTGCAGTTATTTAAAAAGACCAATCAACGTTCACATCTTGCAGGTTTGCATCCACATCTTGCAGAAATTCCAAGCAATGGCGTTTGCAAGTTTCGACACATTTTGTGGGATGGATTGCAAGCCATGTGTAGACTGGACTGACCATTTCATCATCCAAAGGCTTACGGCACGGCACGGTTTTTTCTTCACAACTTTACGCCAGGTTGGGCCATGGTGAAGCTCTAGGACTTCTTGCGCAGGTGGGAATGGGAAGTAGAAAGATGGCAGCTGGACGTTTGAAAATCCCTGATGCTATATAGCGTTGATTGTGGCTTTGAAGCTTAAGCATGCAGCCCCGCATGCTGTACCACAAGCAGTTGCACGCACCCCCAACGAACATCTAGAGAAAGCACGACGTCCTGGAGCTGACCAATCCTAGTAAAAGTGGAGAGCACAAACATCGACGAGCACGCCTCACAGCGGGCTGTTCAAGGCCCACAGCGGGTTCTCCGGCCGCACTGAATAAGCCACCCTGACCTCACCTGGATCGTCAGAGAAAAAACATCCAACCGAAACAAAGCAAACTATTTGTTGGCAGTGCGCGAGACAGCGAACAGGGCCAAAAAGAGGGCACGGCACTGCCCGCACCCTCCAGCTGCCCGCACCCTCCAGCCGCGAATGCCAAGCAAACGCTGGGCATGCGGGATTCTGCAGTTCGCCGGGCTATAGGTAACACCATTCGACAAACAGAAGTGCTGTAGTCATGCACCGTTCTTAGCAGCTGCGGACATGTTTCGAGTGGCGGGTTCACAAGCAGCTTCTTCTTGGGCACTGAAGAAGCCTCATGCTAATGCTAAGGTTTGAGGAAGGCTTGCAAGACATGTTTCCGTGTTTTTTTTTCACCAGGCATAGTTTCAGCTTGACATTGGCACAAATCCAGAGGACCAGTGAAGGAGTGCTGCTTCTTCAGCATGTTCCTCACAACAGTCCAAATGTGGATTTTGGGGGGGGCATAGTTAACATACGAGCGGACATTGACCTGAACCAAGGCCAGCTAGAGAAGTTTGCTTCCTTGCTAGCGTTTGATTGCAGAAGTGCATAATTTAGATGCTAGGTTTGGCTGGATGTTCAACAATAAGTGGGAACCAGGAGCTGACACCCTCTTGCCAACCTGCGGATGGGAAGGAACTGATGGGTTGTTCTTCACTCTTGCGATCCCTGAGTCGAAAGACGGAATATGGCCCTGCATCCCTTATACGGAGTTGATTCGTCGATGATCCGTTAGGCTTGTCACCGATTGCGAAGGCCTTCATGACAAAGGATGATGGTTCCGAGAAGGCTTGAGAACCACCAATGTGATATGGAAATGGCTGGGGCCCTCCTTTGCAGAGCTTATACTGTGGGGCACAGTCATCCCCACATGCGAAATAGTCACAGAACCTCACTTAAATGCTGTTTGGATATGTATTCACCCATATATGAACAATTGACTGTTTTGCATGAAGACCGCAACGACCACACCAGCTTGAGGCTTGAGTGGGTTCATGCTTTGGTACTGGTATTTACTCGACTACATGAATGTGACCCTTTTGCTTAGAAACATGGACTCCCAAATCCGTCGCGACTCGCTGCGCAAACTCGCTGCGCAAACCCGGGATGGAACACCGTGCACCTCAGAAACTTTGGGGCATCGAGGTGCACATCATTTGAATCATTTGGATTGTTTTGTTATTATGCACATCTGTGCTATATAATGTGTTTTTCTTCGAAGTTGTACCCACTTTCACTCACTGGTACCGCAACCTGGTGGCCTTTTGCAAGGCATTAGTCCTGCTGAAGAAGGACTGCCGGATCCAATTGCTTTCCCGACTGACTGGGCCAAGCGATCCGGGTGGCTCCCAAGCTTTGGGACCGTGTTGAAGGAGTTCAAATCCTTTGGCACCCATTTGTAGGTCTCAAAGTCCCAATCACCGGATGGGTATGAGCTCCTTTGGCATGGTCTTGGAGGATTTCCACGGAAGTCCTCCATCAACTACACACTGCAAAGGGGCTAGGCAAAGATCTACAAGTCTACAAGTAGCCCACTCTGCCCAGATCGATAATGGATGGCCCCCAAAGTCCCCCAAACTCCACTTACAAGACGCTTTCTTCTCGAAAGGCGCCTTGTCATTCACTTTTGTTTGTCCGCACCAGGGCGCTCCTTTTGTGCGCCAGGAGCAAGTTGTTTGTCAAGATGCCAAGGATCAGCTTGGTGAGGTGGGGCTGAGTGTGGTCCCTTTGTCGAGGAGCCGCTGAATGATAAAGTGTGCTATTGATGTTCATATGTGTGAGTGGGGTGAGTGCACACCAAGGGTCACCAAAGTTGTTTTTTTGCTTTTGCGTTTTCAATACCCCGTGGCGGGCCAAGTGCATTTTGCGAAAGGAGTTTCTCAAACCCAACCCAGCTGGTGAGACCAACCTCAAAAACCGAGTCGCACCATATTTTTGGGTGACCATGTCATTCGTCATCGTCATCCTAAGCGATGTCTCGAGTGGTGTCAATGGACCCACATCAGGCCTTATGCTCCCTCTCTTTGGCTCACGTCTACATGGAGCATGCACCTCAGAGAAACTCGGCGCCGCATGGGCTTGGCCTGATGAAAGACCTGCCTTTTCCTAGCTCCCAAAGACAAAAGTAACAAGACCATCGCGGCAACCGATCCAATGCATGACACAGCTGTGGTGTTGCTTTGACACAGCGACGCCCAGGTTGAGCAAACCCAAAGAGGCCAGAAGAACTGTCATTTGCCAGGATCAAAAATTATTGAGCAGTTGAGTTGGGTCCTTGTTTTGGTTTCGATACGTTGGTTTAGTTTATATAGCTTAATCATGCCTTTGCAGACGCCTCCAACTCTTCCCTGCCTGTTATTGTCACAATGACATCAAAAGACCAATTGACTATATTGGACTATGATAATTATGCCCACACACATGCACATTTTTAGCTTCGTCAGCCCATTGTTTTTGTGTCTATTTGACTGTGCTGGGGTAAAACACATCCCTTTTGCTGCCTCAGGTGCAACTACTACGGATACGAAGACCGATGGTTCATGGATCACGATGGATCCCTGAACATATATATATATGCATACAATGGGGAAGCAGGATCACGACACGTCAGAAAGTGCTAGAGGCCCTGCAACATATACGAGGATTCCAGCTTGCTACATGCTGGGGCCTCCAATCCTTCCCAGTTGTGAGCATCCCTTGAAAGTTCAGCATTTTGGTCCTGACCACGTCAACAAAAAGTAAGCAAAACTCCCAGCTCAAGCAGCTGCAGTAGGCCTACTGACAGCCGCAAGTTGTTCAGAAGGAGATTGACTCAACGGCCCCTTTGCTAATCATATGTGTGGATGGCATGCATCAACAGACTATAAGATCGTTGTCCTCAGCTGCCCCGTCCAACTCGGCCAGGTCTTGGCTTCAGCCGATGCCGCCAGCCGCTTGTTTCGATCCATTGGGGACAAGTGCGGGAGCCTAGTCGAGCCTGGAGACCGCCATTCATTCGTCCTTCGAGGCTTCCTTCGAGGAAGGGACAACATGACAACCCAGGATGGGAATCGGGTATGTTTCAACTGAGTGTCCCTACATGAAGGGATCATGTCGGTATGGATTTGTCCAGTTTTTGGAAGTTTTGTGTAGCATGTGTAGCCCTGAGAGGATTGTTTCGGATAGAACACCTTTTTGTTGTCACCGTGTTTGACAATAGACAGTGACATGTGGGCGTTCCATAGCCGCACCAAAGCAAGACGCCTGCTCAGCGCTATGACACCCTCGGGTGCCCATGACTATAACTAAAATAGACAGATAAAGTTTAACAGAATTCATGGGATTTATATGGCATCATGATCATCATATGACCAGGTTTGCAGAGCACAACCCGATTTCCGAATCAATGATCTGTGTGTGTTTTTTTTTTTCCCGGATGGACTTCCCCATGAGGCAACACTCGACTCATCGATGATGTTATGGGCGACTGGTGTTTTTCCTCGTGGTGCACCCATAAAATCTTAATCTTGATGGTCAATGAAATCTTCCGGCCGTTCACCTCAACTATTGAAACCTCGGCATTGTAGGCCGGGTTTGTTTTCATGTTGGGGCCCTAGAAAAAAGAGCCCATCAGCAGTGCACTTCACACAAGGTGACTGACTGACCACAGTCAAGGCAGAAGCTTCGCCCTGACAAGAGTTGAATTGTTTGCCTTGTGTCGACATATCGGTTGTATGCTTGTGTTGTTGGTCCCTGTTTGCTGTGCCAGGCAGTTCCAGCTCAAGGATCGTTGTGGTGTGTTTGGCTTTTAATTAACCAGCATGGAACTAGTTAAGAGCCGTTTCACAACACAATAACAATGTCTATTTACAGTGGGTTCAGAGTAGAAGGCACAATCCCCCCAAATCCCCCAAAGGTGCTTTATATGGACCCCTATCTATAAAAAGTCTTGGGGGCTGTGCCATCTCTGAAACCACTGGAAATTCAGACAAAGCCAGTCACCCCACGGACCAACCCGCTATGCGCGGTCCATGTGGCGTGACGAGCTGCTGTGGCCCTGCCGCCGGCGCCTCCGAGCGGCCGCCGTCGCCGCGGCCGCCGTGGCGAGTGACGCCGCGGTGTCGCTGGTGAAGGAGGTTCATCGGGTGTCCTCGATGCCCTGCGGCCGGCGGCTGGGCAGAGACCACACATCTTCCGCGGGGTGTGGGAAGATGCAGAAGGTCCTAAGGCCCGAAGGTTGAACCGAAGGTACCGTAATGTGGAGAATGGAACAAAAGATAACAAAAGGACCTTGCGAGTTGCAGGTTTCGTTTCAATACTCTTGAGTTTTCGCATTCTGGACCCTGAGAACTGTTGGGTCAGTTCTTTAGGGTCCCACTATCAGAGTCCATGTTTGACTTCGGAGGTGTTCAGGGTGGGACCTGAAACTCTTGTCACAGAGCCAGAGCCATGTTCGCGAGTTTGTTTTCTCCTACGGGGGCAGCAACCATGCATGACCTGATCAGGACAAGTTCAGGTGAGCACTGAGTTGTTGAGGTTTGCACCATCCGGTGAGTTCAGGAAATGAAGGTGTCCCACTCCAAGTATCTACGTGGTCATGTACGAGTGCCACTCCAAGTATCACGTGGTATGGCCCCCTTCATCTAACACTCGACTCAATGAAGACAACTGACGAGAGCAGGCCATGGGCAGTGGTTTTATTGAAATGAGTGCCAGGCCTTCTCTCATTGCCAGCACAAGGTACCCCCATGTCAGTAGGCAAGTTTTATTAAGGTTTATGCGTCTTTAGTTTATGGCTCCATGCAATCGCCTGAAAGATGCTTGCCATGCACTGTAGCTGCAATGAGGCGGGGTTACCCCTCTCAAGCCTCTCAAGCACACAGCAAATCTCCCAATCACTATGATTAGAGTTGCGTTAAACTGCATAAGGAGTTGCTAATGTCCAAGCAATTGGTTGGGGAACGTGTTTGTGAGACGGCCTCAGCCGTTTGCCATGCAAGGAAGGCAGCCACTTTGCTGACCTGCATTTGGAAGCACGAGGACAGCTGGCTCGTGGGCGCTGCGTGGGGTTGGGCGTCGCGCGGCGCAGTCAAACGAACTCTTTCCCTGTAGAGTCTGTAGAGTTCATGGTTTCTGAACCATGATGAGTTATGAAATTGGTTTGCAAGAGTCCAAGGAGCTTCATGTTGCATTCATTTCAGCTATTGATTTGGGGAGGACTCGAGGACTCGTTGTTACAATGTTCAGCAAAATCACCCTTGCCACGTTTTGTTGATGCTAAGGATCAGAGTCCACCTGAGAGGTACTTTCTCTATTTGCACGGCTTTCCGGATCAGAGCTTGGACCATCGCACCTTCGTTGGAACGCGCGCGCTCAAAGCATGCGGGACCGACCGGTGACCGGTAGTCTCGCATCCGGCCAGTGATAGTCTCGCGTGAGGCTGAGCCAGTGAAGTTTTCGGTCCAGAATTTCCTGGACCATGTTAATGAATGCCTACGTACTATTTTATTCTGCAGAAATCTTTGTTCGCGAGAATCGTCCTTTTTATCGCGAGAATTGTCCTTTTTTTTTCCTGTATGAAAACAAGAGTTTGGGTATTACAGTGTGTTGTCGTCTGAGGATATCTTCCAAAAGTAATCAAGAGGTTGCCTGGATTTGTATTGCTTGGGCCATACCAATACTGTATTTCACAAGTAGTAACTTTATTGATTCTCTATGGTTGTTATTAAATAATTCAACACTGATTGATCTTGCCATAAACTAACTAGAGGTGGCTTGCCCCTCATTCTATAGGTGGCTTGCCCCTGATTAGTTGCCTGCTTTTTTTTAGGAGGTGAAAATATTGACAGGAACCTTGCCATTGATCCTATAAACTAACCAGAGGTGGCTTGCCCCTCATTCCAACAAGATGTGGCTTGCCCGTCATTCCAACGAGAGGTGGCTTGCCCCTCATTCAAGAAAGATATCCTCAGAAAGATATCCTCAGACAACAACACACTGTAATACCTAAACTCTTGTTTTCACACAGGAAACAGGGACAATTCACATGATAAAAAGGACGTTTCTCATGAACAGAGATTCAGATTATATATATATATAGATAGAGCCAAAGAATGTCAATGTATTTTGCTGTGTATGTTTTTCCCTGGAAGCCTCCACATTTGACATGTGATCAGGGCCCCAACAGCCTCGTCCATTTGAAGAGGTGAAACTTTGATCGTTTCATTTTCCTGTTTGAGACTTTTCTTCCCCTAAAGGGTCGGAAACCTGCCCCATTGTTACAAGAGCTGTACCAAGATGGACCAAGTTGTGCCGCATTTCTTGCATGGTTTTTCCAACGTCAGACTTCGGTTTCAGCCGCTATTTCATCTTACCCAGAGCAGGTGTCGACACTCGCACCGAGCAGGCATCGAGTCGAGCCACTACGGGCAGATTCACCCGCGCTTGCCCCAACGCCTCGCCGAGCGGCTCTTGAGCGAAAGGCCTCGGAGTGCCTTCGTGGCCTTCAACTTTGCTGGGACACCCGGCGCCTCGGTGCTTCGGCGCGGCGGAGTCACCGGTCCGAAGTTGAACCGGTGCTTCATGAAGGACGTATGCGTTCGAACGTGTCTTTGGGTGGTCGGATTGTGTTTGTTCATGTTAGTTCTTCCTGTGGCAACTTGGACTTTCTCGTTCTCGGTTTGGATGCCTGGGCCATGTCAGCATGTCAGGTGTCATCGGTATCGTGCCATGACCGGCGCTGAACTACCGGCATCCTTCAGGTTCTGACGATACTGTGAGTTTCTACGAGAAAACGGTCAGCCGAGAGGCCGGGGTGAGGATGATAGAGGCGCATAGACTAAGTATAGACACTATTTTGGAGCATCTTTGATCATAATTTATCCTCAAACTTCTAAGTTGACAGTGCAGACAATCCATGACAATCCATCCACAATCCGCCGTTTCCGGATTTTTCAGGTGCACCTTGGGGTGAAGGGAATGTGCCGCGGCAGGGGCTGAGGATGCCGCGGGTACGGACGCCGATGTGGGCGTCGATGTGACGCCGCAAGCGGCGGCCGCTTTGGCCATGCCATGGCTGGACGTTTCGGGTCGGTTTGCTTCGTTTTCTGAGTCGTTGCCAGGTCTTGGATGCCCTATGCATCATTGAGTACTTGCGACGGGACAAGCTTTGGCCAATCCATGTCATCGGGATTTCCACTGGTGCCATTGTTGCCAGCTTGCTGCCAGGCAGCTATTGGCAGGCCTTCAAAACACTGGGTATGTTTAGTGGTTCCTTCTGTAAAGCTCAGTTTGCTCTCATCTGGAAGCAGACTCCCCAAAAGGTCAACGGTTCATAACGGTTCACTTGGTCTCTTGGAAGAGAAACGCCCTCTTTGCAGTCGATTTCCGCTGGAGTGGCGCGTTCGTTCCAAGGTGATGGACATGTTTGAGGCAATTTCAAGACATGTCCGCCTGTGATTGAAAAAACTCATTGAACAGCATGACATTATAACATTATAGATATGATGTTCATATGATTTTCATTAACATGTGTTTTAAAGATCGATTCATCGCTTGGCTCTCAAGCCGCCAGCTTGCGTTGCCTTCAGCCACCTAAAGCAAGCCTCCATAGTCATCGTGGAGCCCTCATGCACCAAACACAGTCTTGCCATCGTAGTTGTTCCAAAGGTCCTTCTCAAAGCGCTCCAAAAGACCAGCGTGTTGCGAATGGAATTCTTGAACGCATCAAAGGGTTGTGTATACACAAGAAATGCCTAGCACCTTCGAAGGGGCCTCTATCTTGGAATACACACTACTTGTGGACCTTCATTGAAAACCTCTTTGAAGGTCCTGGTGTGGATCGGTGTTGAACACCCACCTCATGTCACAATTGTCCTTGGTCCACAACTCACCGGCGGGCACCCGCCCAGGCTTCGAGGAAAAACCACGAAGCTCACCATCACTGCGATCGCTGGGCTGGTGGACTTGGAGAGCGCTGGCTGGACGGTGTGACTGTTAGGACGGATGGGGGTAGAATGTCTATGAATGTCTATGTGAAGGTGGGAAGCCTCCTAGTTGGTGGATTTGAAGTCTGGTTTGATAGCAGTTGATGTGTTTAAGGATGTAGGTCTTTTGGATTCTTTTGTATACATGATTGTCTCACTTGTTGGTGTTCCCGTGTGCTCAAAGTTGGAGCCATGGAAGGCAGTTTCTGGTCATTGCATGAATATGAGGTGAGCGAAACGAAGACATCCAGGAATCCAGTTTCGATTAACCTCCATGTTTGGCACATTGCCTGCATCCCTCCAGTCTTCTTTTGTCTATGCCAAAAGATGAGGAAAGGCCTTCACTATGACTTCGATGAGTCGCAGCTGGCATCCTTTGAATCCGACGGCTTTTGCTGGAAGGAGCTGCTTAGCGGCAAGACCCGCTGCTGGTGTTGGGAGATGCATGTCGGGAGTTGCAGGATGCCCAGGGGACTGTGGGTAGGAGACGAAGAGCGGATATGTTTCATTCTGTTTGGAGGACGGGTGTTTTGATCAGTCTGACCGGGGATGAGGATTGAGCATGTGTGTGTGTGTGTTTGTGTTTCGGAAGTTTTGTTCGAGGTATTTTTAACAATCGCAAGATGGATTTGGTGGATCCTGCAGATGCCGTCGTGGGTCATGAGTCATGAGCATGTTACAGTACTTCTGTTGATGCCTGTCGTCGTGTCGTCGGTGTTTGTTTGATTGACAGCGCTGTGACGGTGTGATTCAGTACTTCCTGTTGCCGAAGTATGTCAGGGACGAATTCCATACAAAGACAGGAGAGAGAGAGAGAGAGATAGACAGTATATATATATATATATGCATATTTATATATATATATATATTTATTGTCAATATTGTCATGTGTAGTGCCCTGCCAGGGTATCATTCATCACTTTCGGAGTAGCTAACAAAATGCCGCCAACATCAAGTGGTTCACTAGCCATTGTGAGGACCATTTGTTTCCGAGGTTCTGGCTGCCACAGTCAGCTTCTAACCCCGGCAGTGCATGCAGCCCGACAGAGGCAGTTGAGGGGAAGACTCAGGACCCGCTCAGCCAGCTCCTCTTCAATGGGACCAGCCAGCTCCTCCCACAAGCCATTCGTCGGGTTTTAAGTTTAGGCGGTGATATTCAGTTGGGACTCTCGGAATGGATTGAACTCCAATAAAATGGACCTTCAACAATTGATTGGATTTCGTTGGATTTTTCAGAGACTTCCTCATGATTTTTGTCAATACAATGTGAAGCCAAAGATGCTGCAAAAGAAAACACTTGACGTGCCTTCTGTGGTGAAACCGTGGTCTCTCAGCTCACCCATTGATTTTGGCGTCCTGCTGACCCACCCCTTTCGTCGGAAACCAAAGCAACGAACCCATGGATATCCACGGATCCAGCGATTCGCCAGGATGTATGGAGCAAATGTGCCATTCCGCTCTCTGTGACCTACCGCATCTTGGAGCTTCGTTGGATGATGTCCTGTGGAGCTAGGTTGTCTTATGATGTCCTAACAGAGGAGCCTATTATATGACTATATATGCAGTGAAGCGCGCTTCTAGCTGGAGCAGATCCATGAACATCCATCAACTTTGGGGGGGAGCTCATGACAGCCAGTGGCACCGATTCTTGTTGCAGCCTGTGCGTAGGCGACCTCAGCTTGTGGAGATTGTTGAGGAATGCTGAGGAGTATTTGGTTTGTAGGCCCTTTTGTGATCCATTGATTGAGTGGGTGGGGTTGGTCAAAATAAAGCGTACACATATAAGATAAACCACATAATTAAACCCATTTAATACATTTAATTGTGCATAATTTAGTCAACAAGAACTTTCCAATTGCACTCCAACTTATTTGGCATGGTCATGCGGCAGCAAAGAACTGACTATTATCTGGCTATTGTTCCATTGTATGCTCGGACATGCCCTATAATATATATATATATACACTAATTATATAACTGGAAATGATCAACATTCATGCCACCAGGTTAAACTCGTTCAAGATTCAAGTGCACAATACAACTACTCTGCCTGAGGATGATCCAACAAACATCCAGTTTTCCAGTTGTTCCATTGCCTCCCTGGCAGTCAGATCTGAGGGGATGACTTCCTCTCCTTAGATCTGAAGGGCTTTGTGAGCCAGAATTCTACACCAATGCTGATTCTGCACGGAGATCGCGATCGAAACGTTCCCTTGGAGAGCCTTGGGCCGTGGAGAGCTGGCCCCAATGGCTGATGGCTGATGCTTAAAAACTGTGTTGGAAGATTCCTAGATGTTCAAAGTTATTTTAACATGTTTTTATTGTTTTTATTTTTTTTTAAAGATGTTGTAAACTACTACTTTTTCTTTGCACCAATAGACCCTAGATTCCTAGATCGGACCGTCAGATGTCGCAACTGATGTTGCCTTGCTGACTAAACCCATCCATTGATTGACCAGGTGTGGTTTGCATAGCCATGTATGTTTAGCAACCTTCTCGCACCAAAAGGTGGCCCTCAAGGTAAGCCCCCGGAACAGGGTGGCGCTTCAAAGCTTTAGTGTTTTCCATTAGTCTATATAATCAGAATAATCCATATAATTACACAAAGTGTCTAATATCATGAGACCTCCAGATCTGTGGATGGTCTTGTTGGCCTCATGTTTCCGTCGTTGGTGGTGTCGGCTCCAGGAACGGTGAGGAATTGTTTCGGGTGGCGGCCAAGCCCAAGGAGATGGTGATCATCAAAGGCGAAGAGCTCGGGCGTTTTCGGGAGGAGCGATAGAGAGCGAGAAACACACGGCACCGGGTGGAGAGGTCCTATGTTTGGGATTGTTTTGGGTGGGTTTAGGGTGCTGGGGTTAGGTTACATCAAAATGCGGGGTGTCCCATTTCTACCCTGCAACAGTCGTAAGCAAGCAAGTGACTAGTGTTTTCTTTTGAAGAAGGCCTTTACTAACCATCACCATCCGTTGTTACATGGAATGGGAATGGGCATGCCCAAGTTATATACTATTATATACATTTGAATACTGAGGGATGACTGGTGGTATGGGGGTGATGATCGGACAGAGGTTGCCAGTCGTGTTTTTTGATTCGCGGGTGTGCCCCTCACTGAACAAGCACACACGCACGGCAGAGTGAGAAGACATGGCATGTTGGGTCTTATCCTGGTATGCTCCTCTTGAATCCCGTTGGGGCCCACAAGCCTGCACTGCGCCCTGGGGAGGGAATTCTCTCCGCTTGGGCAGGTGGAGACCACCTGCTCCGCAGCTCCAAGTGTACCAACAAAGCAGCCGCGGCCATCCTTGACTTCATCGCACGACACGACACTCAGGACTGCCATGCAGCTAATGTCTTCGTATTTTTTCTATATATTTCGATTGCTGGTCCCCTTTAGCCTGAACTCCTGAACCCTCATCCTCAGCAGACACCTAGCTGGCTGTACAAACCATTGAACCTAATTATATAGGTCGTTGCTTGGTCCATGTTTCGTCCATTCTTCCTAGGAATTTCAGGAATTTCTAGTTATATATAAGTGTCGACCCGGGCGCCCACAAAGGAACACGCCCTGGGTGAGGTGCCTCACCAGATGCTTCAAACACCAATGCGCCATCCTCAACCTGAACCGTGGGTCATAAGAATATGGTTTCTATTGATCAAGTTACGTGGGTGAACTGTTTGTTGACGGTGGCCAGACGATCTTTTCTTTCGGCCGAGCCAATGCCATGATCGAGAGGAGCCGTGATGGAATTCCACAACCGCCCTTGGCTTGCTTGGAGAGCTTCAAGGATTCTCAGGACGCATCACATCGATCTGTTGGCAGTCCGAAGTTGAAACCAAGAAGACAGACTGTGGAGAGCCAGGACGGGAAATTGCGGAAAAGGCTGCCACTGCTCAGCTCAATGATCGCACATGATCAGTCCTTGGGAGTAGTAAAGTTGGCACGTCATTGAGGATTAGACACGCCACCATGTGACGCCTGTCCATTGGCTCTAGGAGCATGAATTGTCTAGCTCGCAAGTGAGGTTTAGAGCTGAAACTGTATACAGGAAGAGACCAATTTGGTTGGGAAAAACGTTCTGCCAGACCCCAATATGCACTGGGGGATAGTATATAGGGGTTCTAACTTTTGACTGGTAAAGCAACACTTTCTTATTTGGTACCTCTCAGTTCGCTGTGCTGGCATTGTTCTAGCCTGATGGGACTTGTGCAATGTGGCTGCTGCACGCCCACCGTCACAGACGAGATCACTGATGGTGTTGAGGGTCCGGAGCCTCTTTCAGCTCCTCAAGCAGATCCTTTGGCCTCCGCTCAAACGCTGGTCTCGTCCCTTAGAACGGGCTCCAGTCCCACCATGGCTGGTCGGGAAGACAGCTTTGCGACCCTGATTTCGGATCGTTCCAGCTTCCGCACCTTGGTGCCGGACCGGGGGAGCTTCAGCACCATGGTGCCGGAGCGCAAGAGCTTCGATACCGTGCAGCCCAGCCGCGCGAGCTTTGGCACTTTGATGCCCGACCGGCTCAGCTTTCAGGCACCGGTACCAGAGTCAGATGAAGAGGATGAGGGCTCTGAGTTTGAGGCGAAGCCTCCGCTCTATGCGGATTCCTTGGAGGCACAAGCTGCTGTTCCCAAGGCACCGCAGCGAGGTTTCTTGGGCCGCTTTGCATCGATTCGTAGATCGTCAGCTCCCTACCATGGTTGAGCTGCAAACCGATTTTCAGTTTTGGCCGCCGGGCCGGTTGGGTCTCACAAAGCTCCAGCACCGAATGGTGCTTCTTGGTGGTCGAACTATGGACTTGTGCAGGGTGCGCGAAAGGCAAAACTGTTCAAAACAGGTTGCGCTTGTTCGAGCTGCTCACTCACACGCCAGGGCACCCGTCCACGCCAGGGCACACCGCATCCGACGCGTCCGAGCCCCGGCGTCCGACACGTCACACAGTCTCTGAGGATGGGTGAGTTGTCCGCACTTCAGATCACTGCAGATGCCCGGTCCTTAGATGTTGACCGCAAGGTGGAAAGGGGAAGGCTATATATACTAGGAACAAGTATACTTGCTCCTGGCACCTGGCAGTACTACTAGTAGCAAGAAGCTACTAGTAACAAGGGCATCGCTACTAGTAACACATACAAGTCTGGGGAAACAAATTGTGGTTTCGATCCCGACCTGTGTTTGTTTATTGTCCAGAAGTAGGGCAACATTTTGGCAGTCACAGTACAAATTCTAAAAGTTAATAAGTTAGGTGGTTCGCAGGGGTTGTCAAGATTCCATCATTATATATACTAAAAGTAACTAAAAGTATCTTAGTTCTATAGATGCAGGGTGCGTCCTCATGTCCGTATCCATCGTTGCTGCAATGTGGGAACATGCGCCCACTGCCAAGAGGTCCATGCCAGGGCCATGCGGTATGCAGAGATGTCCTCGGCACTCGAGAAGGCCGGCCAATCGGGGCGACACTGTGACGATGAAAAGAAAGAATCGGATGTGGCTACGGGTTAGAATCAGAAAGCAGTGGTTGAACAGGAACATATATATGTATAGTGGACATGGTTTTGGGGCCCTGAGGTGGTCGATTTGATCCACAATATGACCAATATGAACTCAGTGATGGTGCACTTTGGGGCAGTTTCTTGACCCAACACCTGCCACTTCCGGTGTTTACACACCGGTAGGGCTCTGAGATGCACCCGAGTTGAAGAAGAGAACCCCACCCTGCCAGGCCCTGCCTCCCCCCGAGAGGATGAAGTCATTACATGTCACAATGGTTGGGATCAACGAAAAGATAGCTGGGCTGGGGCCGATCAGGATTCTAATGACGATGGACGGGGGGGAGGGAGAGAGAGCTAGAAGTAGAGCTACAGAGATTTTGAGAGTCAGTACCCCAAAGGCTTGCTGGGAAACGCTGGATGGGGAAGTCTAACAAGTACAAGTATGATCAAGCAAGATGAAGTATTAAGTAAGTAGTTATACAGTTGCAACAAGCTGTCGCCCTAAATGAGGGCCTTTTGGGGTGCTCCCAACTAAAACATTTGCAGCTCACGCAGGCCTTGACGTTGGCCGAAGCATTGGGTGACGTGGTGACCGAAGCCAGTGTGGCCTCCAATGGCTGGGATTTTGTGTTCGAGATTGGGGCAGGAAAAGAATGGAGAAGAGCTGCCAAGAGATGTGAGAGTCGAATCTTGAGACCTGTTATGCTAGGTCCAATGTTGGTGCCTTTGCGACAGATGTATAGTGGCCGCACTTCTCAATCGATAAACCGCAAGTGAAATATGCAAACATCAGATCAATTAACTCTGTTCAGACCCGAAGGAAAGGAACATGATGAAATTCCACATGTCACCATGCGTTTCATGTATTACCATGTCTTTGTTGCACATGGTGTGGTGTGTGTGTGTGTGATGGTGTTGCTTTTAAATCATCCATTCACAGGAAGATGCCCACCAAGGTCTTAACATCAGCTTGGCGCAGGCAGAACAGCTGTCGTGCTCGCTGTCCAGCCCGGAAGACCGGTGTTCATGGGAACAGCCTGCAAAGACAAACTGAGGGCATCCTCAGGTTTACAATGAGTTCGATAGTACATGTGAAATCAATTTAATATGATATAGATTCTAGATATGATATAAATATAGATATCTACAACGCTGTCTCGATGTATGAGCATATGATTTTAATCCCTTCAGTGTACCTTTCGCCTTTCGCCTTTCGCCGTGACAACAACGCCACACCGCGGCTCGGATGTGTTGACGCTGCGCCAGGCACAGATGGGCCTCTTGGAGGTCTCCTCGATGCAGCCGAAGAGCGACACCTTCCAAATGCAGGGCGCACTGGCGGCGAAGGTGCCGCGCACTGGCGGGGCCGTGTTAACGGAAGCACACGGTGGCTCGATGGGACCGAAAGGCGGTGTTGAGTCACGGTGGCTTCGTCCGAACGTGTTCATGTAAGAGAAAAGGGTTCAGGAAGTGGAAGTCTGACAATTGAAGAATGCACTCTTGAGGTTTGAACTGGCTACTGGTAGCCCAGAGCAAACGGGGAAGTGCAGAGTGGCACTGACATGCGTGGTACAGTGCATTGGCGGAGCTTCCAGCTGTGGTTGGTCAAGCTTTTGCTTTGGACAGTGTCCGCAACGTGACTCACCGTCTTGAAAGTATGCCATGTATAGAGCATTCAGCTTCGATGCTGTGTAATAGGTTCTTCAAAGACCTTGTTTGGGTGTCGAAATTGTGATGGACGTGGCTGATTCCCCAAGGGCAAGAAAGAAATTATGTTGGTTCTGCTAAGACCTGGAACTGGAAAAAAATGAAAGGCTAGAGTCTAGAGCCAAATTAAATATGATCCAGGTAGAGTACAGTAAGGGGTTTGCTCCTGCAGATCAGCAGCTTCCGGGAACTTGCAATCCATCCAGCAAGCAGCCTTGGCCATGATTGAAGATTTCTTAGGTCAAGAGGTAAACAACATTGAAGATACTAAAGGGACAATGCAAATGTTGAGGAAACCTGTTTTCCTCCCTCAGAGGTTCCTTTTGTCACCAGTGTATACTTACGTGAAAGTTGCGTCTCTTGACTCTTGACTGCTGTAGCATGAAAAAAGACAACTCAACATTTCATATGTCATACATCGTCATACTATTTATACTATTTTGCCGTCAGATTTCCACACCTGAAAGCCTTTCATATGGTTTTACAATTCTTAAGTTTAAGCTAATGTCATGGTGTGGACATTTGACCGTGGTGTATTTACATAAAATTCATGACTGTGATGCAAGACCACCAAAAGGAGACGTACAAACCAGCCTTTGTCCTTCGAACACGCCGCGAGGCTGCCAAGAGAGCAGTGGCCCTGGCCCGGCGCCAACAGAGGCAGACAGCAGCGGCCAACGGGGGTGCATGTTGGGTACGGCCCAACCACGACAATATCTCAACACACTGTACATAGGCCCATGTGCGTACCCAAACATGGCAGATGGGCTGCCACTTCAATAGGAATGCGTGTTTCATGGTGGATCCCTACGTTTTCCAACATTCTCCCAAGCCAAAAACGATTTTGGTTCGTCATGATTCAACTTGCTTGAGGTTCAAATATTTGTGTCCTGGATCCCTTCAGCTACAATGGCAGGTCAGACTTGATCATCTCCGCCCTTTGCGCCCTCTCCCAGACTCAGTTTCTGGTTGGTGAGAAGCAGGCAGGAAGCAAGGCTGTTGTTGTTGCAGTCAACCTCATTCTTGCAGCTTTAGTATATTCTTTTTTGTGTGCTTTGGCAACAGTTTTGCTTGCCGAGCAACACTCCACTGTGGGGCCCTGCGGGTTTCTCACTGGGTGAAGATGGTTAAATACTCGTTCCAAGGGGGCGTAATTAAGCAGGTTTGTCAGTGGCTACCACCGCCACTTCACATGGGTACTCGTAGTGTCTATAATGCAGCAATATGCAGCATATCGAGACAATGTTGACTATGCAGGGCAAAGGGATGGTGCCAAACATAAAAGACAACTAATAAAAGTTTGGGCCCAAACAGAGGTCATTGAAACATAATTACATGCAGACATATTGTATAACATACATATGGGTTGGTCCTCACACCCCTTTGATACAAAGGGTCGCTCATCAGGGCGAGTCGAGGAGACGCCCATGTAAAGCCGATCCCAGGGACCTTTTAGGCGTCAAAAGCTCGTGAAAAGAAGACCTGTTTGGCCGAAAAGGGCTGGTGACCATGCCTTTTGGCCCCCAAAAAGGTATAGAGTTTTGGTAGTAGCTTTGGTCCATCCCATGTTTCATATTATCATGAAAGGTAGCGGTTACGCTACCTGAGTTTTCCTTTTGCTTTGGCAAAAATGAATTATAACCAGAGTGGACACCCATCTCACTGAGAATCGCCCTCCGACATTTCATTTTAGAGGCCCGGGGGGGGGGCACCCGAGAGATGGACTGTTAGGAACTATGCGACAGTCCAAGCCACGGGCCCCCCCCCCTTTCAACTCCACCCTGGCGCGGTTCTTTGTCAACGGCTAGAAAACATCGTAAATACTCGTGTTTTCAGCTCCTCCAGTCTGCAAGAGTGGCCTCAAACCACGCAATTTACAGGGTTTTCTGTGGCTGTCCGGCCAAAAACCTCGTAAAAACCGATGGTTTTTGAAGTGTCTAGGCTTCAAAAATGGTCGAAAATGACCAAACACATGGAAAGATTTTGTCGGAAATTGCTTTTTCGGCTTTTGGAGGCGTCAAAATGGCGCAAAACGACGGTATTTGCACGGGTTTGTGCACCTTCCCGGCACAAAACCCTATAAGTTGCGATGGTTTTGGGCTATGTACGCTTCAAAGTGGCCACAAAACACCGTAAATACTAGTGTTTTGAGCTCCTCCAGTCTTCAAGAGTGCCCTCAAACCACGCTATTTACAGGTTTTTTTGTGTGGCGGTTCGGCAGAGAAACGCATAAAAACTGCTGGTTTTTGAAGTATGTAGGCTTCAAAAATGGTCTAAAAATTGCCAAAAACCTGGACAGATTGTGTCGGAAAGGGCTGTTTCGGCTTTGGAGATTTCAAACTGGCCAAACATGACGGTAGTCTGCAAAGTCCCGGATTACTTGTCATTCCCTGCTACCTTTCGTTCAACCCGTCCTCTCTCAAGTTTTTTTGGTGTTTTTTTGGTTGCTCACCTTCCAAACGACTTCCCAGAAACAAAGACCGTTTTCCGTATGATTCGGTAGAGCATGTGCCCGAAGTCACGCGAGACTGCAAAGACTGTCCGCCAGGCAGCTCGCTCTGCGGCCAAAGCTGCTGCCAGCTTGGCAAAAGGTCAGCCACTGACCGAGGCCGGGGCCCACACGCAGGTGGTCGCTGATAGAAACCCCAATAAAACATCAATGCCCACATACCGTCACATACCAGACACGTGCACACACGACACACACACACACACACACACACACGCACATATATACATAGAGATCAAAGTAAGGGTAGGGCCCAAAAGGCAGAATGCAGCCATCCGCGTAAACAAACAACTATTTCCATAGAAGAACGACCCATGACCGAATTATATATTCAGCATGTGCAACGGTCCAACCAACAGCAAATTTGGTCGTAATATTGCCCAACTCTCGATTGAACTGCTTGAGGCTGGCGGCTGTTTTACGGTATCATTCATCCATAAGGGGTTTGGCGGGATAGAACCTGTTGGTTATTAGTTTGTAGCGGATTCCGTATTCCAGCCAGAAGTCATAGAAGCCTGCGGAAACATCATGCACACGCCTTTGTGGGACGACATGGCAATTAAAGCGGATGACATCAGTTCGAAAAGAAGTGAATCTGCGCGAGATCTCCCAATGAGACAATTGTGCATTTGTGTTGCAACGGTGTCAGGAAGGGATGTGTCCTATAATTCAAGGCATACATGAAAGAAGCGCTGTGCAGATAGATTTGCAGATGATTGCAGATGCGACATGATTCGACAATGTGTGTCTTGAGATCATGTAGCAGGTCGCACCATAGGGGCCCCATTGTTAATGAATCAATGGACAATTTAGTTTGGATTCTCAGAGTGTTGTTGGGCGCGGAAGCAGCTCAAGTTACTTGTAACACCCTCAAACTCTTTTCGGTCCATTGGAGGCTTTTGACCGAGATTGGCCGAACGGCCGGCGACCCCTCAGGCGACCGCATTGGTCCTGGCAGCCAACTCGCGCCCTTTTGAGCAGGGGACAGGGGACACGAGGGCCTGAGAAAAACAACAACGACGGTGCCCGGTGAACACACTTGGTTTTGTTGAGAACGGAAGACCATGGGAAACCCACCAAATTCGATTAACATGTCAAAAGGGGGTTCCTTTCCTTTTGAGCAGGTGCAGGGTTGCTGGTGGAATACAATTTATAATATATGGGTTTATGTGTGTCTGCATAATACATGTATGTTATTATTACATACTAGATAGATACTCACCAGATCGACTGTTGGCTGACGTCAATGGTTTTCTGATCACGCTGTTCAATTTGATGACAGATCAGGGAGCGTTGGATTGGCTGTTAGCAACAAGTGCATTCTTTTTGGCATCGACACATGTTTTCTGGATAATAGGTCACGGGCATATGAATACCTGCACCTTTGCATTCAGCAAAGAGGTTGGTTTGGGACACTCAGGTGTTGTTTTCGTCTCATGATCTCCAAGCAATCAACACACTTTAAGGCACGTGAGGGTTAAGCAATTATCATAATCAGCTTACTGCCCTCAAGGCATTCCAGCATCCCACTAGGTGCATTGCCATGGGCAAAACCGATGCAGCCAAAGAAGCCGCCAGCCGGTGCTCCAGAACCCTCCAGGGTGGGCAGGGCCCATATGGACCATATTGATCCATATTGGACTTGTGATTCCATACGTAACCATGATTGTCCCAGCAGCTGCCTCGCCTTGAGCAAAAGAATGATTGAAAGGTGGTGTGCAGGTACTGGTACTAGGCAGTTTTGCAAGACAATATAGTTTACGCTGAGCCGTGCCGTAAATTTGGAAATAGGATCGAGTTATTTGCTTCTTGCGCGTATGAGGCAAGTAGTAAGGCGAGCCGAGACATGGACGGATGATAACGTACGTAGGTTTGTTCAACAGTACTCAACTATACTCAACTGCGTTCAAGATTCAGAATGCAACATCAGTGCAATTTCAAGAACACGCGGCGAAAACTGATCGTAGTTACCCAACATGCTTTTAGGTCAAGTAAACTCGCCTCGGCGAGCCTTGGACTGACGTAAACAATCGGAAACAGCTGGCATCGCTTGAGGCAATGCTCTTTACCTCTTTGAGGACTGGGCTGACTGCGCAAACTGAGCGTACCATGATCACGAAGGCGCAGATGATTCTAACTCAGCACTGCCGATACAAGACTTTGAAATATTTCGACATGCATAACGATCGATTGCATGTTAGGAGTCCAATAGTTGTTCCGGGGGCGCTGGACTTTGGACGCTACTTTGATGTTTGTGATGTTGAATGTAGCTTTGGCATGCATACAGTATGGTTACTCTTCAAGCAATTTCGTGCAATTTCTGCGCCTTTGTGTCGCCACCTGAAGATGGGCCTTTTGAATGCACTAAGGAGCTGGAGATTGAAGCCACGTGTAGCATCGGTGCCCATCGTGGCGACAAAATGTCAAAAGAGCCTGACCTGATGAGCTTGTTTGGCTTTGATGGTTCAGAATGATTCAGACCAGTCTTTTCCAGGTTTCATGATGGCTGCACCGCTACACTCCTAGGAATAATTAACATGGAAGCGGAGTTCACCCTTTGTTTCGTAGAGAATAAGTGTCTTCCAGGGGCCTATTCTCCACTTCCATGATAATTTCAGAGAGTGTCCCGTGTCCCGTGTACATTTTCGAACAAGTTCCAGAACTTCGGGGCGGGTTTGCTGGGCTCCACAGGAGGTCAAGGACTATGTGGGACAAGACCTCGCCAAGGCCGCAGCATACGGCAGCACGCAGGGGATTCTTTGGACGTTCGGGCGAGCCTTATCATGCCTTTTAGGACACAAAACTCAGAACTCGACACCATTCTCAGCTGTTTTCAAGAACTTGGGCATGTTGATGAAAAGCGCAGTGAGATGGAAGGACAAAGGTTCCACAAATTGTTCATTTGGTTGTGCTTGGCACAAATTGGGAAGTGGTATGCATTGCATGGAGTTTTGATGTGAACAGGCACATGGGATCCGAACCCTCCAAAGGACCAGAGTGCACAGCTGCTTGAGTGATCCCTCTCTTATGGCCAGGCGACCTTGGATGCAATAGACAACCCTGTGAGTGCGGTGAGCATCTCTGGAAAGGCGTGCCATCGTGATTGGTGCTTTAACATATGTACGTTTTACCTATAATTGTGCCCTATGACTGTTGTATGGCCGGCAATCAGTCACTCCGCAGTAAGGAACGTTTGTGCGTGGAAAGATCCGCCGAATCGCCTACTGTATAGTGTTGCACGGTTGCGTCAACCTTTGCAGATGCGGCTGGTGCGCAAGCGAAAGACCAGTGCAGCCCTCAGAAGTAGTCTAAGGGTCAGAAAACAAAGAAGCCTCCTGAAACATGCTATTGGAAGACTTCTCTAATTTTGTGGCAACCACTGTAAACCGGGAATTGTACCAATGAAGGAGGTTTTGTACTTATTGGAGTTTTTGTGATTCTCTCCATGTTGTTCCCTTATGTACTAATCCATGCTTTGACTGCTGTAGCGCTGACTGGTGTCTCCAAACGTCTCTCCAAGTCCTGGCTGTGTCATCAGGTGTGAATGCAGAGGCTTTACGACAGAAGGCGCTTTTCAGCATCCTGCAGAGTAATGTAGACTCTTAATTGATCAAACTTAATATGAAGAGGTTTTTCAATCCAACTGTGGGGGTTGGTTAGTTTATACATCAAGAGTCTACAAATTACGTATGGGTTGCCAGGTCATTGATTTTTCGTCAGAAGCTGCATGTGCTTGTCAGACAGTAGATGTAGATCTCAGTAGGTGACCATGACTCTAGCACGGGCACGATTAGCCGTTCCGTGATGGCAACTTGAATTGGCCAGTCAGCCAGTCAACTGCGACATTCCAAGGAAGCTTCATCAATTGAAGCTTCTTTCATTTCCCCCCACTGCACCAAGCTGAGCTGCATGGCTTGCATGGCCGGAGTTCGCTCAGAACAGCTTCCCTTCGATTCCGATCGAGAATGCCGAAATCTCACCCCCCACCCCCAGAGGTCCGGAACGTGGTGTCCGAGATCGTTGGTATGGATGCCTTAATGGATGTGGGGCTCCGAAGAAGCTGCACCAAACGAGTCTGAAAGGTTGGTTCAGGTCCATCGGGGCCGACAGGCCGTTGGAAGGTCCATCCAGCTCGAAATCGTCCAAAGTAGCAACAAGCTGGATGGGCCATGTTGAAAAAGCAATAGCTTTTGCAGGCTCAGCTGTTGTATTTGGGCATTTTTGCAGATCACTCAGCTGCACCGAGGACACCCCATTAATGCAATCAGGCTTGACAAGTCAGTCAGCGGTGCTTGCCTTAGGGTCACAGACTCACAGACATGCTGACATATTTTGAGTATGACCAGCCTTCTCCTCGACAAACAGATCCTTTTGTCGAACCTGGGGGCCTTTGTTTTGAATTGGTTCTTTCGTGCATGGGGCCATGGGGTGAGACGTCCACTGCACCACACTAGTGCAGCTGCCGCGGCTTTGATTTAAAAGCAGCGGCCAGGAGCCATTTTTCCACGGCTTGTTCCAGATGTCGTGAAACTCAGGCGCCGGCCATCGGCCCGAACAGTTCGGCCTGCAGGGCGTTCTTCACGTCAGTCCACTGAGCAGCTCAGGTGCTTTTGCGCAACGCTTTGTCCAATGAGATTCCTGGCCCGAGTCCAGATGCCCAGTCCACCGAGATGTCATGAGCGGTCTGATACATGATGGTGTGGGCGGTGTGCGTTGGGTTGGATGCTTGTGAGCACACAGGACACAAAATGTAAGAAGACACAGTGATAGCTAGGTTCATGGGTCACATGCTAATGATGTTTCTATCAAAGTAAATTACTGTATGTAATTTTCCAATTCCTGGACGTTGCATTTAACATGAGGGAGATCGTTGGGACCCTATTTGTATCTTGACGTATCCTGACTGGTCGTCGAGCAAACTGGTGGCGCCGTTGTGTACCAATGGGATTTGAGGGTGGGTGATAATTCTTCAGGCTTAGGATGGGGCATTGGACATGACAAGGCTTCCCAACTCTACTTCGTTCTTGTGGTCACCGACCAAGAGGTACAACATCTCAGGACCTTGTGAACGATGAATTTTGTTACTGTGATTGATTTGTTCTGTGGCCTGTTTACAGTATACTGTCTCACATAGTGTTCCGAGCTCAACAGGTTCACGAGCACCAAGTGCCTTGGAATCGGCCAGCGGCTGCAGGCCTTCCCTTCACCTTGATGTTCGACTACCCATCGCAGCGACCTCAGCATGCTCACTTGGAAGCAGATGCTGTTGATGAACTGGTGCAACCGCTAGGATGCACGGTGGGTTTTTAACCGACCTATTGGCAGTTGGTGCAAGTTGTTAAACTGTTCCTCAATGATACCGATATGTTTGCCAATATGTTCTAGCTTGTTTAGATTTGTTTAGTGCTCAGTAGCCAGACCTATTAAGCTTTGAGTCATACTGAGGCTTTTTGCATGTGAGACATCTGTTCTATAAGCTATATATATATATATAGATACTCGAGGAGGTGGCCCTCGTCTCATCCTGAAGCTTTTCGTTCCTCGTCTCAGCTCCGCTCCTTCAGTTACGACCGAGGATCACCGACTTGTCGGCCTTCTTCGTAGAGTCAGCTGGTGGAGAAGAAGAGGAGGCATGACGCTGCTCGTGCCGCGCGTAGCTTGTGGCTTCAGTCTGCGGATGGCTGCGCGTTTGCTGTGGGTTTCAGGGAAGTACAACCAGGTCATCCAGGGCTCCTTCGCAATGAGCCAAATCAAGAGGAACCCCTTATCAGAGTCCCATAGTGTGCCCCAGGGCGCAAGAACGCTGACTAGGGATGAATCCAACCCCCAAAAGTCCATGATGGAGATGTTTCACAAATCGTTAGGACTCGAACTGTGTTTAACGTTGAAAAAAGAATCCAGAGGCAAGAGTATGGTATGGGTATGGACAATTCCATGTGGAGGGAGGGGATTCAAGGTAACAGCTGGCCACAACAGAGTCGAGTGTGCTCCGTGACCGGAGCCTATTGCTTGATGAGCGACGGTGTTTTCTAGTCACGAAGTGTTGGGTGGCAAGATGCTGGAAAACATTGTGGATTCAAACATTTAATACTTAGACGGAAAAAATAACACCAAAAACACACATATATATTTAGATATGTATATATATATATATGAGCAAAACATTCTCCTCCGGTTCATTGATGCTCAGTTTTTTGACAACTGTTCCAAGCTGTTGTGGGACCTATGGGCCGGACGCTCGCTCCGGCGCGTCGTGGGATCCTGCTAGGTGGAGGAGTGGGTGGAAGACACCTCCGCAGCGGGCGCGCGGAAGGCCGGAGGGAAATACGGGCAACGGCTGTTGCAACGACAACAAAAGGCGGGCGCTTGCCATAATCATCCACCAGATTTGCTAAAGAAGCTGCTGTTAGGACATGCTTAATGAGCATCCAGCAGTGGTTGAGGGGCCACTCAATGTTAACACAGGCTAATGTTTGCTTTCCTTCCAACCTGTGAGAATGGCCCGCTTGGCTGCGGGTTGACTCTACCCATACATCAGAGCCGTTGAGTCTGCTGTTGGTGCGAGCATTGATTCTGCCAACATTTGCCAACACTTTATGGTAGACAGGAACATAAATGAAGGTCAGCATGGTCGAGACAACAATGGCAATTCTTTGCAGTCACTTGCTGTGTTGATTGAAAGCGAGGGATGTGTGACCTCCCATGTTTGCGGCAGTGTTTGGTGTTTTTGGGCCCACTTGCCTAAAACGTGACACCAAGCGAAGGGATGGTTTCCGGAGGGGTAAGGTTGAGACTCCACTTTTGTTGAGTCAGCAATGAAATGACCAGTGTGTTCATACCCCCTAGCCCTCCACCTGCCAGTGAGTGGTTGCAACTGCCTGGGCTACATAGTTGTATTGCATTCCTTTGCCACATTGACAGCTTGGAGGCACAAGCTCGATCAGGCGAGCGAGCGGACAGGAATTGCCGGGAGCTTGCTGACCTGAATTGAGTTTATGATTTCTTGCTTGTAGAAGGTCGACAATGGTTGACATACATGCTACTTTACACATGTGAAAGCTTCATACTAAGCCCCCTTTAGGCCCTCAGCCCTTCAATCGAGATCTCTCACCCAGCTGGCCCCACCATTTCTGTGGCCTGACCCCACGTCCACAGGCCCAAGTCCAGACGAGCTCAGGAAGCAGGCCGACTCACGCTGTGTCAGCAGCTGCCCCTGGTTGATGGAGAGGATACTTCCTGAACTATGACCTAAGAACCTCGGTTTTGTGCTCGAGACACCTGCACTCCACATCAATCCATTAGTTGTTGATATGTGTTCACCGCAGATGCATTGTTTGTGGCCATACAACCAGCATGTCCAACGGATGTAGGATGCTGATGGATTTGGTCCATCAAGTGTAGCAGCACTCAGAGCGAACCAACATATGGTACCTGATGCCTACATATACTGGTTGCAGTTGGTTTCAAATTTCAGGGGTCACGTTTTCTGAGTGCATTCTTCAAGAAAAAGTGTCCGTATGATGCTTTGGTGTATGAAAGGGTTTGGTGTGTATGAAAATGTGTAACTTCACCAGTCACCCTGAATGTTGGTTCCGTGTTCACCGTTTTGAATAGGTCCGTGATGTGGTTGCGGAGATCGTTGGCATGGATGACTTGGTGGATGCCCGATCCCCAGCTCAACCCCAGTGAGGTCTCAGACCGAGGGTTTTTTGCATGTTGGCATGTTGTCAACATGTTTTGCAATGCGTGTAAGATTGATAGTCATTAATTACATCTAACTCAATGTTCGCAATGTTGCTTCATAACAATGAGAAATGCTCAGTTTATGTGCAATGAGTGCATTGGGTTCTTACATTTGATTCTTGGGTCAACTACGCGATCCTTTTGATGTTCATCACTGGCTCTTTAGTGCGTTCTTGAGCCATCAACAAAACGGAGCCCTTTGGAATTAGCAGACCCGACATAGAGGGTGCCGGTGCATCCAGGACACTCCTTTGATGCAAGCGGGTTTAACGAGCCAATCAGCAGCTGTGGCCTCAGCTCAGTGTGCGAAGGCCGTGAGAGTTCTTGCCCAGGCCCGACTGAACAAGTCGTGAATCATATGTTGCATCACTAGACCAGAGCGGAGCTGGCACGATTCTGTAGAAAGTCCCGAGGTTCTCTTGAGGAATTCCTTGAGCAAGGAGTTGCCTGGTGCCAGCAGTGGCCCCGGTGTGACAGAAGATGAAGCACAAGAGGAAGAACCACTCTGTGTAGGCTGTGTAGGCCAAGAGAATTGCCTTTGTGAAGCTTCTGGGTCAGTTGAAAAAGTTGCCAAAGTATATACATGGGATCATACTTGGGCTCTTTGGGCCTTGGCCCATAGCAACTGAATTCCGATTTGTGAACAATACAGAAATACATATAGGGAGAGACACACTTTTACTATTTACCCTGTTCACGTCCATCTCAGTTTATATATATATATATGTATATTATATATAACTATATATAATATAGTTCATCACATTGCATCCATACACATTTGCACAAACATCCCAATGACAATGTGCTATCTTGACCATTTTGCAGCCATTTTGCATTCAGTATCATTCAGTATTTATTCCAGGCTAGTCAATGCCTCTAGTCTCGTTTGGCCTTCGTTTGCATCTCTGAATCAGTACTGCTTGCCCCGTCCTTTTGGCTTGCGGATGGTTTCCGCCGCCTCATGAGCCCCGACACCGATACTTTTTCCGGCTCAGATTTTGCTTCAACGGGAGGGGTTGGAGCCCCACGCGTGGCGCCGTCCGACTCGGAGACGCGTGGGACCGGCGTAGGGCCGGTGAGACGCCACAGCCATGGCACGCAATGAGGAGAAGGCGATGTCGGCGCTGAACCGATGGACAGCGCAGAAGAGGGACTTGGAAATGCAGAAGAACATGGGCAAATCCACCTACATGGGAGGCCATTGGAGCTCGGGAAGCAGTCACACCAATTAGTAATAAAGCCGCATGCGAAGCATGAATCCCAAACATACTGATAAAAGAGGTTCCTGTCCATACTCCAGAAAACTCGATCTGTGGCTACTTGGGTTTTGGGCTTTTGGGCTTCGGTGGCACGCCTTTTTCGCGTCGGAACAGGTGCTTTGCCGGACACCGCCCTCTATGGACCTTACAAGAAGAACAAACGCCCGAAGATCGCCTCCGAAGTCACCACGGTGAAGGAGACACGGCCGGTCAGATCCAGCACGGCACATCCGCGTTGTGGCGTTTTCATTGTTTCACGGTCCGCTTGGGGCGGTTTGAGATCATTTAGATCACCCACTCAGGTCTATGGTAGTAGGTATTTGGTATGTATATACTACTGTATATATATAATTAGCTACTATGTTATTATTGTTGTTTGATATCGCTGAAGTAGTTAGTAATTGTTGACTTCCCCCAATAGATAGTGTTGATAGGGTAACCTTGCTGAAAAATCAGAGGCAACACGAGGGATTTAGGTAGGTCCTAGGTCCTAGGCCAAGCCGTGATGATTCAATCAGCGGTGGGTTCCATGTTCTGGGGGTCGGTCAATCTAAGGTTTTGCGCAGCAGTGCAGGTAATCAGAGAATCCATTGTGAAGCGTTTTTCTTGAACCAGAAGATGCTCTTTGTAAGCCTGTGAGATCGAGCTAAATATGCTGAGCTGGACCTTCAAGGATTCTTTCTGCCGTCCTGATGGGAAATGAACTGCTCACAATCTGACTTCAGCGATGTTGTTTATGATTCATGATCCAAAGAAGGAAAGTCCTTCCAGATTGTGGTTCGGAGGTTTTGAATCTTTCCCAATAATTGCTTTCAGATTGAAGTGGGACTGTAAGGTAGCCACCTGAGTTCTCTTTGTAGCAACGTTCGCTTAGGGTGGTGTTTGCCCACGCCGTGACTTTTGGGGATCGTGAGTGGCGATTGAATTACCATATAAAATATAACCGCCTTGATGGTCCAGCTTGGTCGGATTGATTGCCGCTTGCCTTTATTGCGTTTCCCGTCTTTCGTTCCTTCCACGTCCAGCCGAGCCGTATGAATCAGGAGTGCGAGCACTGGCGAGGGGAGATCCTCAGAGGGGTGGCGAAGAAAATCGCAGAGATCCAAAACGCCGCCCTAGGCGAAGATCGAAGGGATGCATGTTGTGTACGTGAGGACCCTTTTCTGTCCATCGTTCGAGTACCCTTTTTGCACAGCAGGATTTCATGATTGATAGAGATCTTGTAGTATGTCTTGTAGAGTCGCTTTGTACATGTCCAGGTGTTGTCTTCGTTGTTTTCTTTTCCTCTCACTTGACTTATAGGCTATCCGATCGAGCAGACACAGCAGGAACGTGTGGGCAATAATTGTGTGAATTCGTGTGTTTTACTAAGCCATTATATAAACAACTTGATAGTCCGCTGTGACTAGTGTTGACATGTACATTGGATGAGCACTCGCCGTGCATAAAACCCTTGGCTCGTCCATTGGCTCGTGCATAAAGACTGTTTTGTGGTTTTCCATAAGGATTTGTTTGTTCTGCCTTAAAGTGGCCTCCATTGTTTTGTTTGGAACCCTGCTGTTGAAGGACAACATCCAGTATGTGTGTGGGTTGGTGTGGGGATTTCTTCATTCTACCACCCCTGTTTAGAGTTTAGAGGATTCCTCTCGAGAAGGACGTGGCTGCCTTGCCAAAGTAGTGTTCTTTCCAGTGGTTGAGCATTGGTCAGGTGAACATCGCATTCGAGACTTGAATGATGAAATCAATAAAGATCTTCGGGAGAAGGGCTACTGGGAAGATCAGAGACTTGCGCTGCATTTGTTTCACATGGGGGGACACCCCGGCCCTTGCATTTGTCACGAAAGCTAGCATGCTAGCTGAGTTCTTCTTTGCTTTAGCAATGTTGTGGTGGGAGGGGCTGCGTGCCTTAAAGATTGATATATCAAGCTAACCCCCCCCCCCCCCCCCCCCCCCCCCCGCCCCCTGTAGGGGGTTGGTTGAACGTGGTTGGTTGGGTGTAAACGGTGGCTTGGTGTAAAGGGTGCTGCTGCTGCTGCCGGTCTGCTGCTTGCTGCTGCTGTTTGCTGCTGCCGCTGGTTGCCGCTTTTGTAGCTGCTGCTTTGCTACTTGTTGCGGCTGACGACGCCGCTGCTACTGCTGCTTGCTGCTTGCTGCCGGTGGCGCTTGCTGCCGGTGGTGCTGCTGCTGCTGCGGCTTGATGCTGCGCTGCTGCTGCGTGGTGCTGCTGGCTGGCTGCTGGTTGGTGGTTGCTGCTGGCTGCTGGCTGCAGGCGGCTGCTGCTGCTGCTGCTGCTGGCTGCTGCTTGCTGCATAGGACTTGTACTTCACCGTTACAAGTTGTTTACCCCTATTTCTAACCTAATGCATGCATAAGCGGGTGGTAAATTTACCCCCCAGGCTTGCTATAACCATGCACCGGCTATTTTCTCAAGGCACTCTATTCTTGATACCTTTTACCAGTGCTTATCCTACACTACGGACGCCCTAGTGTATGCACAGTCCTTGTGATGCTTACCCCTCGTTCCGGCTCAAGGCATACATAGGCGGGGGGTAAATTTACCCCCCAGATTTGCCATAACCATAAGCCGGCTATTTCCTCAAGACACTCTACTCCTTATACCTTTTACCAGTGCTTATCCTACACTACGGACGCCCTAGTGTATGCACAGTCCTTGTGATGCCAGAAATGCCTACCCCTCTTTCCAGCACAAGGCATACATAAGCGGGGGGTAAATTTACCCCCCAGATTTGCAATAACCATACACCGGCTATTTCCTCAAGACACTCTATTCCATATACCTTTTACCCGTGCTTCTCCTACACTACGGACGCCCTAGTGTATGTACAGTCCGTATGATGTCAGAAATGCTTACCCATCTTTCCGACTCAAGGCATACAAAAGCGGAGGGTAAATTTACCCCCCAGATTTGCCGATCACGCATCTTCGTGCCTGCCAACGAGTGCACCCGGGTTGTTCCAATGTACCCTTCCCAGTCAGCGATGTCACATTTACATTCTTTAGCGCAAAGTATGTACATAGCAACCTTCCTCCCAAAACATGTAATCCCTACATGCTTTGCCGACTATGTAACTAGTACATCCGGTGCGATTCGGCTAGCTTTCGACCTCTCCCCCTGGCCTCAAGTTTCACATGGGGGGACACCCCGGCCCTTGCACTTCATAGTTTCCAGATTCCAATAAAATTCACACCCATGCGTGTTTGCTTATTATGTTTGCTTATGTGTTCCTTTTCCTGCTGCCTGGAATCTTCGGATGGGGCTTCTGGATTCCACAAGCGATACCATGTGACTCTCGTCGTGTGATTCTCGCCGTCCTGATCACTTGACCCAACATGTTCAAGGGGAGTTGTTATGTGCTCATGCCTTTCTGGATCCCACCCTTGAAGCGTTTTGTGTTTCCATGTGGTTCCATGGGCCCTGGTGCATCAACCACACAAGTTGAGTGGGAGTACAACTGCGGATTGAACACAAGTGCGGACGATGATAAGTGAGGATGAGGATCGTGAATAATATGAGATACACTGCTGGTTTGTTTCATGTCAGTTCATTCCATATCCACACTGCTGGTCTGTAACACTCGCCAGCACCGTGCCAGCACCTGAGGATTAAAGCCTTAGGTGGCGCTGACTACAAGAACGCGCCCAAGCGCGATGTCGAGACCTATGGCGCTGAGTTAGCGGCGCACAGCGGATACAAATACTTTGGCGCAGCCAAGGTGCGGGCGCGCAGAGCTGGCTCAACGGTCGGCCCGGGTGTTATTATAGATAGATAGATAGGTAGATAGGTAGGTAGATAGATAGATAGATGTGTGAAAAATGTGCGAAAGATCGAACCACACGAAACCTCAGATCGAACAAGATGCTGGGTCATCATTTCTCGGAGATGGGAATGGAATGGAGCCTGCAGATCTACGATGATCTAAGACAAGCGAATGGCCCTTAGCATGGACCTTAGCATGGTGGTAATGCTAGCCTCTGGTTTCCAGGGGGGCGTCATCAAGCCGAGACCCAACCGATTGGATCACACCGATTCCACGCTCGTCCGGGAGCGAACAATGGCCATCAACCGACCCATCTCAACGACCCGGCCTGCGCCACAGTTTGGGGATCCCCAAAGCGTGTGTCGGACCACAACCGACCAAAGCGTGTGTCTTATGGACCAACATGCCATCTCCTGTCAGGACCTCCCTGGGGTGCGGGAGCTCTTCGAGACAGAGATCGTCCCGGATGCGCCGCGGAAGACCAGGAGAGGTTTCTACTTGTCGTGAAGATCCTTGAAATATCTGGAACTCCCAGAAAAAGGAAAAATGATGAAAAAACATTCGCACACAGAAATGATCAAATATGTATATTCAAGGGGGGTGTGCCAGGGTGATGACAGCCCCTTTAAGAATTTGTTCGTACAGTTTTTCGAAGATGCCTTACACCCTTTGTTGCGAGAGTCAATGGGCCGCCGCGGGGCTTCCATTCACTCTGGCAGATCCGACCACATATCAAGAGGACGTATCGCCTGGCAAAGGGAAAGTATACAGTTTTCCTAATTTGTGTGTGTGGAGTTTGTTTGTTGAATGGGAAATCCAATCAGAATACTGTGTTTGACTTAGCTGGTGAACATCAATGAACATCCGTTGATGTTTGTGATGGTTCCTTGGTGTGGTTGGTACTGTTTGGGGATCGCCAGCAAAGCGAGCCCCATCCATTTCGCCCAAGCATGTCACAAAGACTCTCAAAACAGCATCTACATCATGTACATATAGCAAATGTTGACGAGCTCCTTTTTTGAACCTAAAGCAAGCGTTAAGCTTCGTTCAACCTGTTTAACTGAGCCCAGCGCATTGGAAATGACTTCGGGTACCATGCAAGTGATTTGCCAAGCCCTTTTGGTAGGCGCATGGTCGCCAATGAATGTGATGTTCTTTCTCTCCTAGTTCAGAGGGTCGACGCGAGAAAGCACCACAATATATTTTATGTATTCCAGCACCTGTTAGCACCTGTCGTCCAGCCAGCTTTCGAAGTATGTGTTTTGTGCTTGGACAGGAACATGTGTTCCTTCTTGTATACCTTTTCGCACCATGGAAGGTACACAGGAACATGATGATGGGCCTGGCTTATAAGAGTAAAAGCGCAGAAGTGCTTCTTCTCAAACTGAGAGGATTTTTCTCACAGCTATAGCTAAGAGCTCCCCCCGTCGAAGCCACACCAGAGGAAGCAGCTGTTCCAGTACATTCAGCCAGACTACTATGGCTGGCGGGATGAAGAAGATGGGATGCTGGTTTTATCCGAGCAGATGTTCGAGGAACAAGCTGTCACTTATCCCTCCACTTGTCACTTTTTGGTTTTGCTGCCTTTGCTAGATTGATATTTGGAGGGTATATACTTGCCCATTGCCCCAGCATGGTGCCCCCTGAAATGTAGAAAGTTGCATCCTGAGTTGCAACCTGACATGAACTGGACAGTGGGTCTATGACCTCTATTGTGCCTTTCTGCATTTCCCCTAACATACTGTAATATGTTGTTTTTATTGTTTATATAATCACTTTGTGTTTGAGAACCTTGTTGGTTAGGTAACTTTTGCAACTGGATTCGGGGCCAGCTGGGCCGTTTGCATGGCCTAGCTCAGTATACCGTATGAACACGTCAGACCCACACTTGTTTGTTGTGCGAAGCTTGGATCATTGATTCCTAATTCCAAGTCCAACCTGTAGCTTATGACCCCACATCATTTGCATGACATGTTGCATTCTCCAAGCAGCCCAGTGGGGTTCAAACAGGTCAAGAAAGCGATGGAAAATTGGAAGGAACCGATCCCTGAAAAGACAAAGAAGCGAAAGAAGGCTGAAGAGGCCGAGAAGAAAGAAGACACTTGGATCCGGACCAACCAGCATTTTTGGGGCAGGCTGTTAGCATGCGTTCTTGTTCTTGTTTTTTGTTAGCATGTGTGTTGGGTGGGGGTTGGTGTTGGTTCTATATCCATGAAGCTTCATGCTGTTCAATGGTCCACAGCTTTTAGCCTGACCTATATAATTTGAGCGTTTTGAGCTCCCTGGCCGGGGCGGTCGCTTCGGGAGCGGAGAGAGATCAAGAAAATAGATCAACATGGACCAGGATCAGGCAGATGTTATTACTCTTTTCATGTGAAGAAAAACGAACGTCACAAGGCTGCGGATCAAGTATTGCAACCTGAACCGAGCGGCCAGTGGCGCTTGTGAAAGACATCTAGCAGCTCTAATCACTTGCCAATCTTATTCAACGCATCAAGTCTTGCAGGAATGCCACGTTGAGTGGAGCCATGTGAGTCCCCTTCCTGGACCGGTGATGTAAAGCGGTTTGCTGTTGCTTCTTGAAGCTGTGACCCAGCTTTGTGAAATCTGAGGAGAAGCTTCCAGAAGTCGTCGCTTGGGCAGATCACGGGAGCGGGACGCAGGTTTGGTTGGTCTCGGAGAGGTGAGTGCAATGGAACCAAATGCCCGATGCTAGGTTGGAGGCCATCGCTTCTAGGTTAAAGGCCATCACTGCTATGTAGTCAATGTAGTCATCCTTGCTTCAACATGCGACCACTTTGGAGCGGCTGGGTGAGTCCGAGAGAGGTCGGAGTTTTGTTTTTGCTTGGACAGGTATAATTTATGTGTTGATTATGTACAGTATATGTTATTATGTTATATTATATATTATGTTAATACGTGGGTGCTGTGTGAATTATAGTTAGACTGAGGAGAAGCCGAAGGAGCAAGACTTCAAGGATTTCAAAGCATATGTGGATGTGCCCACGATGGAAGACATTGAGCGTATGATCGTTCAGAAAAAGAAGGAAACATTGCTGAAGAAGTATGCTCCCAATGAATCTCAAGACTGAGATAAAATGTCTCAATTAGTGCAGGTGAAATGACCTGGATGCGTGTTGGGGCAATTTCGTTTGAAGCTGTTTGTTCTTCCTGAGGGTTTTTCTATCAACATGCTCAGGCTATAGACATACTAGGGCCTTTGTGTCACAAATTCCAGCGAGAGCCCCGACCCAGCCCAGCCAGACGTCGTGATCACACAAGATCGGGCGTTTTCACGCAGGTCGGACCCCTCCTATCGCGCACAGTGAGAAAAGGCTATTTAACTGGATGCTGGGTTGAACCAAGGGCGTTCATCCAATGCTTATGGCTTCTTTGATCTCATTTGGATATAGATTAAAACTATATAGTTTACAATAGTTTACATATTGTAATATATATCAAAACATACAATAACACAAACACACACATATATATATATATATACACATTGACTAAGTTGGCTTTCAATATATACATATATATATAATATATATATTACACACATTCTGCTTTGTGCTGCAGTGTCCCTCGCCGTGCTCACCATGAAAAACCTGATGGAGGGCCCAACCACGACTGCCTGGCCCAGCTACGTCAATCTTGAGCTTCCGATTGTCCAGCTACTAGAAGCTACTAGTATCTCCCGGCATCGCTACTAGTAACAAGGACGCTATTAGCAGCTCACCCGCTTTCTTCTGATCACACAGCTGGTTCTTTTTCCATTTCGGGTCCAGTGTCAAGCAGCACTCAGGCCTTCCGTTCACCATGATGTTCGACTATCCTTCGTCCAGTAGCCCCAGAGGGGTGGGTAGAACAAATAGCTTCATGTGCGGCAGCTTGCCGTCCTTGCTTTCAGGAAACTGTGTTTTGGTGGATCCTTGAGACCCATCCTCATTTTTGACCCGTCCACCTGAGAAGTGCTACACCATTTTGCACCGGATGATCTCGAGTCAGGTATAGATCTTGGTGTAGAGGTTGGGGTCAGTTTGCCAGTGTTGGCGCTTGAAATATCTTGAACGGTGTTCTTTTGCTATTGTGATGGTGATGTCCTTTCTAATTTGCTTGGGCTTGTTACATTGTTCAATCTCAGTGCAGGAGGCAAATAGTGATCAACATACGGAACCAGAAGACTTGAAGATATTTGTGAAGCGAAAAGGGTAAGGTGCTCCGTGCCAAGATGATGTGTTCTTTCGCCCAAGGATCAATGCGCTCACCGAGTTCTTTGTTGCTCGAAGTGGGCCCCAGGCAGGTTGGGTGCAATCTTACCTCTTGACATAACTTCCAAGAACATGTCAACAATTATGTCAACACTTAGAGAAGTTATTGGATTCCACCGGTGCAATGCTAACTGTTGACAGTTTATCACTTCCCGGTGGGATCCAATCACTTCCCTATGGCCCCATCCAGCACCAGGATGGACACATAGTATCATGGTCCTTTTCCTGTCCTGACACCCATTTGTCCTAGGGCTGTTAAGGTTTTGAGCTTGCAGCTCGCTATTTGCATGGACTTGCTGAGAGCTTGATTGAGCTTGATCATTGTTGAACCGTCAAGCACTTGGACTTTAATTGTTCTATATAATGTTATGGAACATCCTTCTTCCCATCAAAGGTGTCAGTGAGACGTATCCTAGTTGCGCACATAGGCCGGACGAGTTTGAGAAATGCTTTTGATTGAAATAAATATTAGCCTCCCATACAAAGGGTCTTCCCAGTGGCAGCACTCATGGCAAGAAGACACATGACAAAATATGCGCCAACAACTATAGCTATGCTAAGCCTTGCAAGCAATAAACTTGTTTTGGTGGTGGCGGTGGTGGTGCGGAGCGCACTCCGTTCTACCAGATCCACCAGCCGCAGCAAAGATCAGTACAGTTCTTGTATATAGGTATGCAGCGGTACGCATGCAAATTCATAGACTATGGCAGGTAGACATGGACATGATTGAAGATGAAGATGAGGCCCTGAAAGGGGGGGTGCTGTGGCGAAGATGCAGTCTTCTTTGTGACGGCATGTGACGGTGACGGCTGTGATGAAAAACGGTGTTTCCAGGCCGTGGAAGAAAAAAACACATGTTGTCAAGCACAAAAGAACCTTTTGAGAACTCCATGGGTCGTGGGACATGGGACGGGACCCAGCCCGCCATGTAGGCTGACCATTGTAGGCTGAGCACCTTGTAACAGTTGTCACTGAGCTGCGCGTTCTGAACGCGCTCCACGCTGGTGAGCCCTCCTTCGCTCGGCCAGGGTGCTCCCATGATGCGCACCGAGCTCGGCCAAATCACACCGAGCCTGGCAAGTGGCACAGTGTGAGATCACATGCACACCATGTGGAATCACGTTGGGAAGAATAACCGCCCTCAGACATGCCTTGTCCTTTTGGAGGTCAAGAGACAAGTCTACATTCGGCGGGATAGAGACAGTCCACTATAAAGACACATGGTGCATTTAGTGGTGGATATGTGTGTGTTTTCTTGTGCATGGTTGATATGTGTGTAAATACTGTGCTCAAAGAGCAGCAAATCGCATGTATGTGTGTGCATGTGTTAATCTATGGGTACACCGCTGCACACCGATCATCAATACGATGGTAGACTACACTATGATGTGTTTGTTCTACCCAACCCAAAGCTACTGTTCCTACTGATCCTTTGGTTTGACTCGGACCGGTCAGGCAGCTGAAAACACACGTGCCGCAGGGACCTCATGGTCGTCTCGCTGATCCGCACCCCTTTGGTTGGAAGTTAAGTTGCCTCTAATATGTTCCAACATCTTCCAACCAAAGGAGGCACCACTTTAGATGGATGTAGATGGGAAGCCTGCGGCTATGTTTACACCTCGTTTTACTGATTCCTCGTGGTGGGTTTGGCAGCACACGAGTTATACAAATATATATATATTTATATACATAACGTTATAACTATATATATAGATATTGTCTAAAGCAGCAAGCACATATGGGCTATACAACCAGCATTAGGATCAATGCATGTAGGTAGATCGTAAAAAAATCACAGAACTCAGAACCAGCAATAAACCAGTTCAAACTCCGAGCTCAGATGGGCCTAAGAATGCCTAAGACCGAGCGTTCCCATTGCCATTGGTTTGCCCAGGCAGCTCACTGGACCCGCAAGTCACACAACGGCAGGTGCGATCAGGGAACAAGCATTCGGGATTTAAGCAGTCTTTAGTGGCTTGAGGGCACTTCTGAGCAGATGATACTGAAGATGCTTGGATGAAATTGTTTATAAACCATTTCTAAGGATTCCACAGAATGTGGAAGATGGGGAAGGACCAACGTCGCACATTGTGACGCGACTGTCACTATCATTTAGTCTCTTTGTATCGTATTGTTGGGACTTTGCAGTCCCATGAGAGCTTGCTACATGAAATTTTGGGTACGGTCAACATCACAGCGAATTACTTGCTGAAACGTCCTTGATATCTCTATTTGTTTGGCCATTTGAATCCTGGTCAAGAATGATCGATCAGGTAAGGCAGATCGTGGAGGACATCGTTGGTATGGACGACTTTGCAGATGAGTTGGCCTTGGTGGGGCGGTGGCCAACGACGAACAGACCTGGCTGTGTTGCAAAGCCACTAGGTGGAGGTCTGTTAGTTTTGGGTTGTACAGACTTGTGCACGAGCCAACAAACGCCTTTGGCGCCAGCTATGCGCAATGCACACTTGAAACCCCTGACTTAATGCAGGTGTTGAAGCTTGAGATTCTGGATACATGATACAGACACAAAGTCCCGGCTCGAGTGTGGCCGTCCGTTAAGCGGAGGCTGCCCCCCTCGGGCACGTGGCAGTTATCCAAGTCGGGCCCTACGGAATTTGCAAAAGCCAGCACAGGGGGGTCATTGAGCACAGGCGGCGCATGGAACATTAGCCAAGAAGAAAAGACACAGCGGATTGGCCAGGTGCTTGGGGTTTTAACAACCAGAAACTGGCAATGAGTAAGATAGTAGATGACAGTAGTAATTAGATGTCATTAGTATATATTTAGTAATTGATAGTAAGAGTGTTGGAATCAGTCTGAAGGTTTGGACAGCATATACCATGTACCATTGGTGTTCCATTTTTCCTCCACGGTGCCTCTCATGTTGCCATGGCGGAGTTTCCAGAGCTTTGGCGGTCGGAGGCCAAGGAGCAAGACTCGACTGAGAGGCGAAGTCTTCCGCCAGACTTCCTGCTGAAGCACACGCAAAGATGTGGCGGATTTCGACAAAGATGTTGGGGGCAGAAGCTGAAGCAACTTTAGAACAATGTTGTTCAAGGATCAGTGAGGTCAAACGCAGTCTAGTACAAGTTTTGCACCATCATCAAGCAACTGTTGCTATTTTGCCACAGTGTTGTGAAGCGCTGACCCACGTCCACGTCCACAACGAATTTATCATATGTGTCGAGCATGCCAGTTGATTTCTCAGTCGCTTACTTTAAGATGCAGCATCCACATAAGCAGTCTTCAAGCCCACTCCCAAACACCCCGATTGCATTCCAGGACTGGTAGGGGAGGGTGACAGACACGATTGCTTTTTTGGGCGGTTCTCTTGCACGTTGCTACGGCCGTGCAGAAGGACAAGAGTTGACTATTGAACAAATATGCATATATATAAACTTGATGAAACTTAAAACATGCATATAGAAACTAGTAGGGTGTCGCTGGCATCAGATCTGGACCACCCCGTTGCTTTCGTCGGCTCCAGTCGTTCGGTCCGAGGTCGGCTCAGGAGTTCCAGCAGCTGCAAAGCTCCGCCGAGGTCAGCGGTTCGTTGGCACCAACGAGTTGAACGGGTTCGGTTCGCAACCTTTGAGGGCCCGGTTTTTTTGGCCTGCTATCATCCACAGGCACTGCGATTTGTCGTATATATACTGCAACTGACAATGAATACTGTATGCAATGTAGACACTGAATACAGTCATGTTGGATCCTGATTCGTAAAGGGGATCCCCCCTCTAAACAACTGAACACGTTACCACCAGCGTGCGCACAACAGTGTCTTTGTGAGCATTTGTGAGCATCTATGCAATTCACAAAAACGATAGAACACCTCAAACAGAACAAAAGCTTTTACAAAACCAAAGAAGACGGCAGACTTCAGACATAGGGTGCGCCGTTTTGGCTATTTTGTTTGTCCTTCTTTTTCTTTATATTATTTTATTTTTTGGTTTGCTCGAGGTTCTGGAGAAAACCAAAAAACAGCACAAAACTGCACACCTTGATATTCTAGTTTAAATTGCAATTCAATCTCCAATTTGATGTTAAATCAATTCCAATTTAGTTCTATTGCAAATGTCACTTTAAGATATTTTAAGTTTAATTCCCGTGGCAGCCTAAATTTAATTCATTATTTATTGAAATTCTAGTCGATCTATGTTTGTTTGAAGTTAATGCTCAGTCAGGGATTATATCGTCACCGTTCATGATGTTTGGGTTTATATCGTCACCGTCACGTGAACGCAAGCTAGTGGGGACCGACTCCTTACACAAACGCCACATACCATCAATGGCACCGCTGTGGATGAGCAGCTCTCCTGACCGCAACCTTTTCTTTACACAAAACACTCCTTTGGATCCGCCAAAACATTAGCACACATGGGATTCAGAATTGTTTGTTTGGAAAATTGAGCATTATAGAGGATTCTTTTACTCATTAGGGTCCAACATTAACCCCCCTACCAGAATGGTCTTTCATCTCCATATCATTTCATATCGGTGGCTTTCGTTTTTAACAGTCAACATGACAGCCAATTGTGACCGACCTGCACCAGTAGCAGCTGTGTAGCTTTTGGCTGTTTCACTGAACCAGACGACAAGGACTTGCTCCGCTTGTGGCAGGCCGCGGTGCGAGAGTTGCGCGACATCGCTGCGGCGGTTTCGGGTGAATTGCTGGTCGGGGCACGTGATATCTGAAACACTCCATGTATGGACAGGTGATATAATGTTATATAATATATATATATATACTGTACCGTCGTCCAAAAGGTTCTTTTGAAATTGATCCTCTTTGGTCCAGTTGAACACGATAGCCAGTTCTGTGGCACCTGAACAGCAACAGGGACTTGATACCTTGCGACCTGAAAACAAGTGTGGACAGACCCCAGGTGGATCCATCACAGCCAGGTCAAAACTTGATTCCAGCTTTGCACACGACAAGAACAAATTCCATTTGCCAGGTGGTGGGAGTCTCCATTGAAGCTCAAGATGCTGACGCCAAGGCCGCGCCGATGCCTTGTGGAATCCGTGCCGAATCCGCGCACCCATTATGCACCGGGCGCCCGAAAACACCGGCTCAGCCAGGCGATCTTGGCGGCGGCATTGGAGACCTGCGAGGGCTGCTGCTCCAGGTGGGTGGATGTTTCGATTCGTCTGTCATGTTGGAAGACAACCACCACTGATGGACTCAACCACTGCTTGTTCTATGAGACTTAACACTGAGTCGTGAACAGGTATACGAATGGAAGAGTTACGAAGACTGAATTGATTGCTGCTATGGGTGCTGCCAGGGTGCTCCGCAACAATATCAAACAATGAAACAAAACATTTATATATTTATCACTTATCTAAACATGGTTTTCATGTACTGGTATCGTATCGCTTTATAAATACATCAGTCTACTACGCCAAAGGGACCCTTTTGTTGCAGAATGCCTCGGACCGGTGCTACCAGGTGGAACCTTCGGCGTGCGGAGTTAGAGAAGGAATGCCAGGCAGTCAGGGCCAATGGTTCGATGGCAGCACGGTCCCAAATATAACACACAAATAAGAGGATGATACAGGGACTTCAGAATTAGAAGGCTTCCATCATCTTCCATCTACAATACCGGTGTGCCATGTGGTCGTTTGGAAGAGTATACTATACCCGTGGCATTTGCCAACAACTTTGGACTTGGCACGCCTCAGTCAGAGCAGTCGCAATGTTTGAATCGGTTGGGTTTGCGGCGTTTTATGAGGGGATTTGTTGTGCAGAAGCCAGCGCCGCGAGAAAATGCAGAAAAACCTCGTCGCATAGGCATGGTCTCTTTTTTAGCGGTGCCTGTGCCTTGTTGGTTGGGCCTTTTTCGAAACTTTGGCTACACTTTGGTCGGGGCCACATGCACACGAAATAGTTTTGATCAATTCCGTTCGCGCTCACACTCTGGTTGTTTCATGGCTGTTATGACGGCAATTTGTGGAGCTTGCCTGGCAGATCTGGCAGGCCAAGGCAATATATGCCTTGCTTCATGTCCCAGCACATCCCCATTGCCATTGATTTGTGTTTTGAACTGAGAAGCCTGCAGGAGTTAGACATTGCTCTTCGAAAGAGTCTTCAAGAGCTGGCAGAAGGAAGCTTCGCTGAGGACCTGACAGATTCCCCTGAGCAGAAAGAACCCAAACGTGTCAGAATGTTTCAGAGATGTCCTCAGAATGAAAAAGTCTTCAGCATATGCTTGAAGAAAATTGAAGGATCTCTAAAGACTGTCAAATTCAAACCTCTTTGATACGATGGCTGTCAGAGGCCGACTGGCCAGTCGCTTCTCAGTACGTAGAGCACATCTTACAGGTTGTTGCCGGGGTCTTGACATGGATGGTTTCTAGATGTTTCTGGAGGCGGTCCAAGGTCGATTCTATAAGCAAAACGCTGTTGCAAACCATTTTTTGTTCAGAAAGTTTGAACCAAAAAAGTTCGATTGAACGCTCTTCCCATGGCTTCCAACAGTCTTCGACTTCAGTTCGTCTCAACAAAACAAATCTTCGTTTTCGACTTCACACGTCGACCGTCGAAGGAGTTGCGCCGGGCCAACGACTTGGCGCTGCAGCCCCGTGCCACTGAGCTGAAGGGGCTCGTTCAGGCAGAGATGGCGGACGTGGAGGGGGACTTGCGATTGGATCTGAAAGAGAAGGCATGCATGTTGTGTTTTGTAATTGATATATATATATATATCACTATATATCTAGTTATATAGTTATAGATCTATAATTAGACTGTTTTTGTGTTTTGTAATTGATATATATATATATATTATACACTTTATACCGTGCTGTTTGTTTGTCCATTGGTGGATCCAGATTGTACAGAAGGACAGAGGGTGATGTAGCAGAAACGCCTATATGACGTGTTGTAACACTGGCTGACTGGGTAATATGGGTAATGGTTTAATCATGCGCCCGGACTCTTGGAGTGTTAGTGCCCCGGCACCAACCTGCATTCAATTGGGCATCATTTGCCTGTCTTTCAACGTGCCAGGCTGCCTCAGGCGCATGGGAAGAGCAGGAGCAGCTGCGGAGGGATTTGGCGGAGGCCTGTGCCTGGGCCTGGTCCACTGGTGGTCGTAGATCTTGTGAGGCGTTGGTCTAAAAGCACCCGGTAAGGAGACCTAGATCTTCCATGGTCCTCCAACTGTGCAACAATTCAGCCTTTTCATCTGTAAAACAAGGCAGGCAGACCTTTTGCACAGCTGGAAGACCTAGGTACACTAGTACAGGAGACTCAATGGCTGCAGCTGATGGATTGCTGGGGTGCCCTGGACCTCTCCTGACCAGGGCTCCATATCGA